CGTACGTACGTACTCCCTCCCTACCTCCTCCTCTCTCTCTCTCTCTCTCTCTCTCTCTCTCTCGACCCCCTTTCGTCTTCACACTTGCTCCTCTAATACTCTCTCTTCCTTGCTCCAACCCAATACCACGCGCAGCTCGACGTTCACGCAAAACCGCAATCAATGACATTGATGCCGCCCACGTGCACCCGTCCGTGCGACCTGACATGCGCTGATCATGCAGAGCCGCGGGGATCCTCGCTTTGTCTTGGTTAGTGCCGTTTTGCTTGGCCCCCCACATGATGGTGTGGGAGCCTCGTCTTTGGAAAGCTGCGCTCAGCCATCGGAGCTTGTGTGCCGGGGCGGGGCTTTGCTCATGGCAGGTCTGCCTTGTTATCGGAACCCTCCTGTCCAGGCTAGTTAGATTAGGATTCGGCCCCGGTAGAGCCCAGTATCCCGGCAACGTGACGGGATGTAGCCCGAGACCTCGCGAAATGAGTCGCATCCTGGGCCGTCCAGAGAAAGCGCAACGCCAACGTTGCTGGCTGCTCGGTCGACAAAAGCCCCACCTCGCCGCCGTCTGCATCCTCGCGAGCACAAACGAGCGCAACAGCCACGCCCGCCCGCTGTCCGGCGCGGGTGGAGCCGCGACGCCGTGCTCGGTAACGAAGAGAAGTGAAGTGAGAGAAGAAGGGGTGCCGCCGCTCGCGAGCTAAGCGAGTTTGAGCTTCTTCTTTTTGCTTGGCCCCAGGGACCCTACCGAAGCACGTCGAGAGGAACGTGCCTGTCAGGACGATCCTTTTAGCTCGTCGGCGCGACGCCATCCGAAGCGGTCGCTTCTCTGGCACCGGGTGGCAACGTGCGATATCGTCGAGGAGGTCAAGAGATGGTCATCGGTCCATCGAAGGTACCGAATATCGTCGCTTGCTTGGCCCAGGCTGGCTAGGCTTCGACGCCAGGCGTGGTTCTGCGGAAGAAACGTGCACCGACCGACGGCAAGGTTATAAGGACGATGGAGGCACCATGAACCTGTCATGCTCGCTTCGTGTCCAAGTTCCAGCCCTCGAACGCCCTCTTCCAGCCTCTCTTCTCACCCAACTCCGCCCCCTACCATGTTCGGTCGCAGCACCTTCGTCCCCGCCCTGGCGCTGTGCGTCGCCGCGCCTCTCGGCGTCCTGTCGGCCACCCTGACCTTTGACTGCGCCAAGGTGCCAAACATCTGCAGCAACGGTGAGCAGCACGACCCTTACCGACGGCGTAGGTGCCCGACAGCGCTCTTCAAGCGTCCAGACTGACCATCGCCGTCCGTCTGCCCGACTCGCCGTCGCGCCGCAGACTGCTACGCGATCCAGTGCCTGGGCAAGCCGAGCACGCTGCACCGCGACTCGGCCAACGCGTCGACGCGTCGACAGCAGACGGCCTGCCAGTCGCCGAACCGATGCTCGGGCAACCCGACCGACTCGAACAGCTGCGACGAGTACCCCTACGCCTCCTCGATCGAGGGCGGAGCGGGCTCGGCCACGCGCTGCGTGCCCAGCGCCGAAAACAGCTCGCAGGGCGGCTCGCTCAGCTCCTTCTACCGCTCCGCCGGCGTGGCCGACGGCGACGCCTACAACGTCGCCTTCAAGGGCAGCTCCGGACTGCAGTACTGCAGCGGTAGCTGCACCAACTCGGGCAACGAGCTCGTCAAGAGGTATCCCGTCGCCACCCAGTACAACCGGCGCGAGTTTGAGACCGAGGACGGCGAGACCATCCTCAGTGAGTGGCGCCTAGCTCACGGCTGTATGCGAATCGAAGACATATCCACTCACCTCTGCCTCGCGTCGCGGTCGTCTTCCGGCCACAAACGTCGTGTATCGCAACAGTGTTTGAGCCCGTCGGCCAGCGCGGCCTCCTCGACAGCGTCGTCGGCACCGACGCCTTCCTCGGCGACGAGGAGCGTTCGGTAAAGATCGTCAAGGCCCTCTAGACCTCGTCCTGGGTAGTCTCGTAAAGTCCGTGTGGTACCTCTCTGAGAGGCTTGCATGGGCATCCGGGTTATGATACAATGTACAATCGTCTTGATGAGTCAGTCATCGCCGCCGTTGGGCGACAGGAGAGTAGCGCAGGCATCTCTCCGGAGCGCACGGGCCCGCGCAGTGTCCAGTGCTCAATACAGAGAGAGCTTGGCGTCAATGACGCCCTCGATGGCGCCATGGTCGTCGCGAGGCGTGGCAGCAGACGAGACCGAGGACGGCGTGGCGATCGATGACGAGGCGTAGCGTCGGTTGTAGCTGGTCTTGGAAGGCGTACGTTCGTCGCCGCCACCGATGCTGACCAGCGAAGGGATCCGAGCCGCATGGTACGGCGATCCTGATCCGTCGACGGGCATCGACTCGACTCGCTGGCGAGAGTAGGTGAGTGGGCTGCCGCTGTACGAGGGCGTTGCGAGTCGGCCTGTGCGCTGCTGCTGCTGCTGCTGCTGTTGGCGCAGAACCAGCGAGCGAGTGCAGCTCGGGGTCGATGTCGAGGCCGAACGCAGCCAAGGCGAGGCGGCGGGTGTCGTGCGCGCGGCGATAGGCGAGCTTGTCGGCGTGATTGTCAGGCCGGCGAGGTGGGCATAGTGCTGCAGTATGAATTGCGACAGCTCCTGCCAACCGCCGCCGACGCGCACCATGACCGTCTTGGAGCGGAGGATGCGGCAGAAGCAGAGCTTGGGCTCTGGATCGCCCACCCAGTATTGCCCGCTCTCGTCCTTGAACCCTGGCCGTTCGGCTCGCGGGCCCGGCGCCGAGACCGGCGACACCTTGACCTTCATTGGAAGACGATTGACGATGCGGCCGACGGCGACATCGAGGCGATTTTTGGGATTGGCGCGGTATCGGTTCGGTTGCGAGGCGGGCGTGACGGCGCCCTCGCGCGGCTGCACGGGCTGCGAAGGTTGCCGTGTCTTGCCTGGCGTCCGAGGGATGCGGGAAGGCGTCTGTGGCATGGGCCGGTCCATCGAATTTGCCGCGGCGTAGACGACATGAGCGCCAAGCGGTGATCGTACAGATGCACGCGAGCTGGAGCCGCCACGCAGCATCACGCTCGACGCATACGGCGAACCTTGACGTGACAAGGGACCTTCGATGCTGGCGCTCCTCGCGCGTGAGAAGCCACCCAGGGAAGCCGTCTCCCAGCCAAGGGTGTCGAGCCGGTCGAACGAGGAAAAGGTGCACGTGGACAGGCCGTCGTCGTCGTCGGACGGATCCGGACCCAGGCTGTCATCCGGGTTCAGTGCAGCGCGAGCCGTGTGGGTCACCTCGACATTCGACCGCACGAGCTTGGCCAGTCGACGTCGGACCCGTACATCGCTGCGGACACGGACGCTGTCCGCCTTGGCACGCTCAAGGAGCCGGCCGAGCTCGGCGATCCCGTCCTCGAGGCGATCCTCCAAGCATAGAGTCTTCCCGCTCGAAGATGCGCTCCGCGGGGTGTCAGGCCGTGACTCGATGCTGCTGTCGTGGTCGTGCGCAGTGGGATCGTAGACTGCGAAGCCGGACAACGAGTCCGCCATCTGTATAAGATGACTCTGCTGCCTGTCGATCGCGGCAGCGGCCGACGCAAATGCGCAGAGGTCACCGAACCGCTGCGCCTTGTTGGCCACGTCGCGGGCAAGGTGGCGCGCCTTGCTCTCCATCCTGTGATCGGACGAGCCCGATGTCCTCAGCTTGAGCTCATCCGCCTCGGCGCAGAGCTGAGCCCAGAAGTGTTTGCCGGCCTCAAAGTCTTCCTCCCGGGGCAGATCAAGAAGCTGACGCATCTGAAGGCGGCCTTGATCGTCGATCGTCTGCAGGGCTATCGGGCCCTCGCGCGACCTGAGCAAGAGCGCGGCAAGACACGTCGTGTCCGCGCTCGAGGTGCCGCCGGCTTGATTGGTGCGTAGGTCTTTATGCGGCGCCGGACCGTGATGCTTAGGTCCGAAGCCGAGGCCAAGCGCTCGCTGGGTGGCTTGCGCCCGCCTCGGGGGAACCGGTGGCGGTTCTCTCTGAGACGATGCAAGTCGATCTTTGCGTGACACGAACTCATCGAAGCGCAGCCGGAGGCGGTCGAGCTCGGAAAGCCGAGTCTGTGACGCAAGTCGAGCGTGGATCGCCTCTGCGTTCTGGATCGCACCCAAAGCCGCGGCATCCCGCAGCTGATCGCCGACTGCGCAGAGACTGTCGAAGGCTTCCTTGGCTGCCTCGATGTCCGCCGGTCTGGGCCGCACATCGTGTGTTGAGTCCGAGTCCCCGCCTATGCAAGCGACCAAGGCGTCTCTGCAGCCGTCGAAGGCCGCATGCAGATTTTTGTGCTGGTCCAGCGCGTCGACAAAGCGAGACAGTTCGCTGGCTCGCGCTGCCTCGCCCTCCATATCGGCCTTGAGCTGCATCCAGATGCTGTTGAGGTGATCGTTGATGGAAGATCCGCTGCTGCCAAAGGTGCCGGCGACCATTGACGATGATACAGACGGCCGCGCGCTGTCGACGCAGGTCCGATCGAACTCCTCGAGATCAGTCCGAACGGACTGTAAAGTAGCGACGGCGTTGGAGGCGGCCTGACATGCGACCCCGAGCTGGTCCGTCCAGTCCTCCAGCAGACTCGCCTTTTGTCGGTCAATGAGGCGCCGTACCTCGCTGATACGAGCTTCGAGGCGGTCGCGATGGGCATACGCGCGCTGCAGGGCTTCGACCTGCGCGACAGACTGTCGAATCTCTTCTAGAAGTGCTTTCAGCTGGGTGATCTTTTCGTGCAGACGCCAAGGCGCGCCTCCGACAGCGTCGATCGTCGCTTCTGCGACCTTGCAGCGCCTCGCCAGCGCATCGTCGTCCTCGCAAAGCTTGACAATGTTGACGTTGGAAGCGGCCAAGGCCGATGATGCAGCCTCGAGTTGGTCCGCGACGCGGCGCTGTTCGATCGCCGGCCCCTGTGCGAAAGACAGAACGTCTTTGGTGCCCGCCGCGAGTGCATAGAGCGTGCGTGCCAAGTGATCCAGCCGTTCCTCTTCCTCAGAGATGGCGGTCCGAAGTCCATCCGAATCAGATAGGATATCGGCCAGGGCGGCGAGACGGCGGCGAGCCGCAGCGGCCGCGTCTAGGTCTCCGGCGAGGGCATCAAGCGCGGCGTCCGCAGCAAGCCACGTTCGAGCGTCGGGCATGCCGGCTGCCTCGCAACGCTTGACGTTAAAGAGAGCGTCGCTGCGCCGCTTTGAAGCGCTCGCCATCGCACTGTCGAGCCCTTCCTGGCATTGTCGCATCAGGGTCATCTCAGGGGACATGGGTGCTTGTGGGGCGTTGAGCGCTCCGATGGCCGATCGACATCGCTGCTCGGCGTCGTTCGCAGCGTGACGGAGTGCGTCGACAGGCTGCACGAGGTTGATCACGCTGAGCCTCGCTTCGTCGAAGAGCGCAAGGCAGTTGCCGTACCTCGTTACCGCAGCGTTGGCCAGCCACACCTTCTTAAGAGTCGACCGAGCGTCCTTCTGCAGCACGCCTTGTATCTCGGCGTTCAGGTGCTGCTGGTCGGGAAACGCCGGATGCGTGGGGCTAGGGGGTGCGACCTGCGGCGGAAAAACGCATGCGCCTCCGGGCGGCACCATCGACGCGTTGATGTTGCTTCGATCGTAGACCAGCACGCCATCCAGCGCGTCGAGCACCTCGCCCATCGACCTACGCAGCGATTCCAGAGCGGACGGCGAGGGGATTTCGCCGAGGCGCTCGACGACGCCCCCGTCGATGTCTCGCGCCTGACGCCTCAGCGCCTTGAAGCGGCGGTAGATGACATCTGCCCGTTCCCACTGAGCGGTGAGCTCAGCGGCAAAACTGCCGCGTGCAACGAGATCCGGAAGCGCCTCTTCGAGCTTTTCTTGCTCGTCGATGAACTTTTCGGGGACCTGGCACTGGTCGATGATTGCGTCAAGGAGCGAGCCGGCCTGCGGCACCGCTTCTTGAGCCAAGGTCGCGATCCTCAGGTTGGCCCTCGCCGCTTCGAGCTCGAGTGCCTCTCCAGTCAGCTGCCAGGAGGCGAGGGACGCGAGCCGGCCGTGCTCTGCCGAGTGGCCCGGTGCGGAGACTTGGGCGGCCTCTTCGCTGGCGTTCGAGGACGCGGAGGCTTGGGCTCTTCGGGAGTACTCGGCGGGCGACCAGCGTGCCTTGTGCTGCACGAATGCCTCAACCTCGCGGGCGATCAGATCGAGCTCGGTCCAGCATTCGCACAGCCGCCTCTCCCATGCCAGCCGCTGCCTCGCGAGGTCCAGGGAGGCCTTCCGCGTGGCGAGCAGCTTCTGCAGCTTGTCGAGCGAGTAAATCGTATCGAGCGTGATCTCAATCAGGTCGGTATCCCTGGCAGACATGTGACCCTGAGAAGACGCTGGGTGTGGGCAGCAGCGAGGCGGATCGGAGTCGGTCAGACAAGGGGTACCGCAGTGGATGCCGTTCTCGACGTCGAAGTCCCCAGCTCACCTTTTGCGACCTTGCGCAGGCGATTCATGTCGCTCACATTGAAGCGCTCGACCTCCGCCGCCATGTGATCCCGTTCGCCAATCATCCGGTCGATGTGACTTTCCCGCTCCCGGAGCGAGGCCTCTGCTGCGGAGAGGACGCCATCGTCCGGACAGTAGTCGCGCAGACCTTCGAAAACCTCAATGCGGGGCTGACGCTCGATGAGCTCGATCTGGATGTCGATGTTGGTCTTCTCCCGGGCGAAGCGGGTCAGCTCCACGACGTCGTCGCTGGACAGAACCGAGGGCGCATCATCCTGCGTGCCCATGGCTGCGTCGGCCTCGAGTTGCCGCTGCAGTGAGGCAGCGAAGCAGGGCTAGAGACGGCAGTGGCGGGCGTCGCCGACGTCGATCACAATCGTATGCAGCGATCCCGGGTCGGCGAACATCTCGCCGACGACGCGCCGGCGCTTGTCGCCGTTGGGCGCGAAGGCGGGCGCAGAGCAGGGGTTGCCGCTGTGCCGCCGGATCTTGGACAGTCGCAAGGTGAGGTGGCCAGGTTTCCGACACCTGAAGCGATGAGCTGCTTCGCTTCGATACAGTCTGCGAGTGGTGTCAACGCCCGTGTTGGCCAGAGGCTCCGCCAAGGTCGGTGTCCGTGCCGACGTCTTCTCTGCTTTGGCCCAACACGATGCCTTGCGATCGCCGGCCGAGTTTGGACGGTTTGGGCAGCTTGAGGATATCAAAGAAGCGGGGACTTGAGTGCGGTGCTGCAACGGTGGCGATTGGTTCAGGAGCGATCGGCTGAAGCTCCGAGAAGGATCTGTACGTTTGGGCATTGGGCCTTGATGTTGGTCGCAAGCTGCAGGACCCTGTCCGGGCGGCGGCTTCCTCGCGCGCCTGAGGCCTGCCAGGCCCGCCAACCGCGTCAGCTCGCTGGCCTAGCCCTGGCCTGGCCAGGCCAGGCCAGGCCAGGCCAGGCAGGCAGGCAACCCACCCTATGCCGCCTGTCCCGGGATTCGGCTTTTTGGCTGGCCTGGCTGGCCCCAACCCTCTGGCTGGCGTCCTCCACATCTGGCGGCGGCGGCGGCGGCGGGCCAGCTCAGCCCGCCCTGCCTGCGGCCTGCTGCCTGCCTTCGAGCCTGCAAGAAAAGCGGAGAAGCCGCCCGCCTGCCGACGGGAAGCCAGCTAGGTAGCCAGCAGCCTGGCACCACGCGTGCGTGTGCAACCAACCGTGCCGTGCCTCGCCGGACAGGCGGCGAGCCCGCCCAGGCCGCCAAGCATGCCAGCAGCCTGCCTGCTCGCAACAAAGTTGGCTGGCCCGCACGTGTAGCGTCGCAACGGGCCACCCGCAGCCCGCCCTCGTCGTCGTCGTCGTCGTCGTCGTCGTCGAAGCAGAGGTGACCCGACCTCCAGCTGGCCATCTGCGGCGGAGCATGCACAACCTTGCTGGCTGGTGGTATCTGCCTTGCTTGCGTGCTTGCAAGCAAGGCGGTGCGGTCACCGGGCGATCCGAGCGGAGGCACGCCGGCAGGCCAGGTTAGGCTACTCGATCTACAAGGCCACGCAACGCCAGGCCAGGGCAACCAACACGCCCGCTAGCTCAGGCAGGCCCGGCTAGATTTTTGGAAATTGTGCGCTGCTTGCTGTTGGGTTGTGCCCGGCGCAAGGCAGCCACGCGAAAGACCAACACCTTCCCGCCTGCCCTGCGCTATCATCACACAAATCCTCCGTCACAGCGGATGCGCCGGCGCATCACACGTACGCGTACGACCCACCTCAACGTCACCGGACACCAGTCCGAGAGCACAGCCAGGCGGTCTAGATGGTGGCGGCGAAGGAGGACGCAGACAGCTTGCCGTACCGCGCACACAGCGCGCCACGAACCCATCTCGGCGCTGGCTAGCTGCTTGCTTGGCCGTATGTGACTCCCAACTGCTTGGGCGAACGGGTTGAGCAGTCAAGATCGCTTGCTTGCTTCTTGAAAACTGCGCTTGCTGTTCCGCCAGGTCGGCATGAAAGGGACACACGCCCGTCTCTTCTCCTAGCTTCCTAGCTCTTCCTCGCCCTCTCGCCTCTCCCCGTTGCATGAGGAAAGGGCAGAGGAGAAAGGGCTGCTGGAGGTGGTCGGGCAGATCAGAGGCCAGGCGGTGGCTGCATGGCTTGGGAGCGGCAGGCGGCGAGCCAAGCCACCTTTCCGGCCCCCCCGCGCAGCTGTCCACGACGTCCTCGCTTGCCTTGCTCTGTCTCGACCTGCTGGCCTGCTTCTCGATCTTATCCGCGTCGAATCGATAGGCTAGAGGCAGGTAGGATGGTGGACGAGGGTGCGGGCGCGGCCTTGCCTAGCTTAACTCAGGGTAGTGACTCTTGCTGCTTCTCTGCCGCCCTCTTCTGCTTTCGGACGCCGATTAGAGCTGCCCTTTGACGCAGCGCTTCTCTGCCGGTCTGGCTGGTTCCATGGCCGTTCGTGCCTGGGCCCTTTCCGACAGCATGCTGAGCTGGCTCCCGAGAGAAGCCAGATGGAGCGAGCGACCTTTGCCTTAGCTTGCCTTGCCTGCTTCCACGCTCTGCTCGCTCTGCCTTTCACACGCCACCGAAAGGAAAAGAGAGGCGGACGAGCGTGCGTAGTGCGTGCGTGATGTGACCTCAACGAAGCAAGGCGCTGTTGGCTGCGATGATGGGACAACGCCGCCGCCGCCCCCCGGTTGTCGTCGTCGCCGCCTCGTTCCGACTGCCCCGCCCCGCCTTCCCGACCAACCCACACGCACACGCGCACGCACACCGGCACCGACCCATACACAGCCTCGAATGGCCTCCGGCCCCTTTGCGCTCCTGCACAACGCTCCGCTTGCTTGTGCTTTCCTGCTGGCTGCCCGGCCGCCTGGCAGGCAGGCGGGTCAGCCACTCCGCAGCGTAAGCTAGCTAGCTCACCTTCCTGCTCTAGGTTAGCCCCTCTTGCCTGCCGCGGCGCACCTCTGCCCTCTTTCAGAAGGGCTTGGCTGGCCGGTCGGCCGTTCCCCTACACGCTTGGCCGCCACCTTGCTTGCTCTCGCGCTGCTGCTGCTGCTGCAGTCCTGTACAACCAGGTTGCAGCCTACAGCGGCTAGGGAGGCAGCCAGGCTGCTGCTGATGACGCCCGCTGGTGCCCGGACCACCCCTGCCTTGGCCCTGGCCTGCCTGCCTTTCATCCAGCAGCGGCGGTGGCAGCAGCGCTCGCCCGTCCGCCCGTCCGCACACACCGACAAAGAGCGGGAGAGAGAAGGCAGGCGACCGTGCTGAGTACGTATAAGGTTGGCAAGCCACCTGCGGCCCACAGGGCCACAGGGGGGCCAACGAGGCGGCTGGAACTAGAGGACGACGACGCTTCTTGCTTGCCTTGCTTGCGCTTCTTGTCGCCCACCATCCAGCCTACCCCGACCGACCTATCTGGCCACCCTCGTTTCCCCTCTGCCTCCTTCCCTCCTGCCACCACCATCCTGGCCCGACCCCCCGCCCCCACCTTGCCAGACCGTCCCGGACGCTCTCGCTCACCGCCTCGCCCTTGGAACCTTTGCGCTGCACCCGCCGACCTCGCCACCGTCCTGCCCCGCTCGCGCATATCGCCACCTCTGCCGCCATCTTTGCCGGACGCCTCGCCACCGACCCCGCACTTCTGCTGTGCTAGCATCCCCTCCCAGGCCCCCGCACCTCCCTAGGTCGCCGCTCCAGCACCTCCCCTCGACCGACGAAGCGCTCCAGAACATCGACTGCCCGACCCTCTCAGCAGCCTTCTCGTCGTTTCTTCCTTCCCTCGCTTCCTCCCCCCCCCCCCCCCCCCCCTCCCTCTCTCCCCGTTGGCTGGTTGATCTTGCGCCGCTTCGAAAGGTACAGCAGCAGCGTCCGAAGCGCAGGCCAACGGCCAAAGCCCTCTACGGTTCCCTGGCCCAGCGAAGGTTCGACCTGCAGCATCGGCCTCGCCACTTGGAACACGGTGTGACGCCAACACGACGGATCCACTCTCGACCCCTTTGCCGTCGCAAGAAGGCCGATCTGGCGCAAGATCCTCACGGTAGACTCTTCGCCACGGGTGCACTCTCCTTTCCACCCCAAAGCAAGCCGACGACCGACACAGGCTTTCGCCGTCCGCACCTGACCCCCACCCAGGATCGACCCAAGTCGCGTCCGGCGCCCCCGCTCCCTCAACCTCAGTCGTACCATGATGGCGCATGTCCCTCACCCGGCCCTGACGCAGTGGCCTCAGCTCGTCCAGCAAGGAAGGATGATCCCGAACCTGTTTGCCTCTTGCTCAGTCAGGGTTGTCAATCTGCCGCAGGATGGTGAGTGGCGCCCACGAAGCCCAGGCGCTGGAAGTCTTCAGGGCCCCGCCGACGCGACTGACGCTTAGACATTTCTCTCCGCCACCACGCGTTGTCCGCACCTGACCGGCAGCCACCGAGAGCTGGATCCGCATGCTCTTTTGCCCCATCGGTGAGTCTCGGCATTGGTCGCGCGACGGCTCTGCAGGCCTAGGCAGCAGTTGGCTGAACATGCATGTTCCTTGAAATCCCGCGCAGGTCGAGTGATGTCGGTGACACGGCAGGATGCCGATGGCGGCGCCGCGGCCACCGTCAGGTTCGCCACGCCCCAGCAAGCCGATGCCGCCTTCCGCTTCAATGGCTACATGGCCAACGGCAAGTGCCTGTATGTATATGCGGCTCCCGGAGCCTGCGTGTCCCGCTGTGACCGTGGCGTGTGCACCCATCGACTGACCTCTTGGCCACCACGTCGTCCAACTCGGCCCCCGCTCGACAGGCACATCCTGCCCGTCACGAGTCCGGCAGAGATCGCCGCAGCTCCGCCGGGTCTCGGACGGGGATCCAGCCCTGGTGCAGGGGAAGTGACGCCGCCGATCCCCAAGCCGCGCTCCGCTGCTTCTTCGGGTCGAGCACGCGCTGCAGATACCGGCCCGACCCACAAGAACCTGTACATCCTCAACCTCCCGCTCGACGTCACCACCGATCAGCTGGCGGGCCTCTTTGGCAGATACGGCACCGTGATCCACTGCGTGATCCTGGCCATGCTCGACGCCCAGGCGCGCCGCCGCGGCTTCATCGACATGTCGCAGCCATCGGAAGCGCGCGAGGCGATCGAGGGTCTCAACGGATTCGTGTGGCATGGCTACCCGATCGAGGTGTCGTATGCGATTGTCCAGAGGAGCGGCGGACCCTTTGATCCGGCGAGCGCGGGCCGCAATGTCATCAAGCGTAACGTGCCCCGCAACCGCTTCAACACTGGCCCTCGCCGCGTCCCCAGCGATTCTTCGCTGCCCGGGACCCCGGGCGCCACGGTCGGACTCGACTTCAGCGGCCTCGCGGCTGGCTTCTCGCCCTCACCGTGCCCGTCGAGCCCAGGATTCTCGGATGGATCCGGCAGCAGCGTCGACCTCCACGGCGTCGACCCTCGCACCGTCTACATCACCGGACTCAACCCCGACTTTATCACCACCGACGAAGGGCTTCGCAGGACCGTCGAGCACCTCGGCCACGTGGTGCGGGCCTCGCTGAGCAGGGACGAGTTCGGTGCATCGCGCGGTGGCGGTGCCGTCGTATTCTCCACGGAGGACGAGGCCCACCGCGCCGTTGCCTCGCTCAACGGCAAGTTCGTCGACGGGCGTCGCATCATGGCCCTCAAGCAGCACAGCTTCGCGTCGAGCCCCGGAGTGTGTGGCGACGGCGGCGGCTGGCCGGGCAACTACGGTCGCGCTGCTTACGGCCACGACGAGCTGCAGAGCCTCGGTATCGGCCTGCCTGCCTCGATGCCGCTCAGCGGAGCCGCGCTTCGACCCGCAGGTCCCCTAAGCCCCGCCTCGTGGCAGCAGATGCAGGCATCGTCTCCGATGCCCGCTGGGCTCCCCCAGGAGTATCCCTCGCGCGCTTTTGAGCACGAAACCGCCTCTTCCCCAGGACCGCTGTCGTACTTCACCGCAGAGGCCAAGTGCTACGGCGCCGGCCGTCCCTTTGCCAGCCAGGAGAGCTTCACGCCCGGTCCCGGCGACTTTGCCCGGGCTGAGCCCGAGTGGCGCACAGCCTTCCAGCCCTTCGGCTCAGACCCAGCGGTCGCCATCCCTGAGCGCCGATCGGCCTCCATGGGTACGCCTCAAGGCTCGCACGCCATCGGCCAGGCCACGATCCTCGGTCACTCCCTCGACTCCGCGTCCTTGCTCTCCTCGCTCGGCAGCCGCGGTCCCCTCGGATCGGGTCCAGCCCACAGCGCACTCGGCGCCAGCCGGGACGAACACCTCGACTGGATCCAGGGTCTCCCGACCGCATCGGAGCAGGTCCGCGGGACCGTGTCGGCGGGCCCCTCGTGGACTCCCTCGCGCCCGAGCGTTGCCAGGCACGACGACAGCCCCGGAGACGGCCGCTCGGTTTCGAGCATCGACTCGGCCGCCTCGATCCTCAAGACGCCGGATGCCTTCGATCCCTTTGGCGACCGAGCCTCGAATCAGTGGCACATGGGCTCGATTGGCCTCGAGGCCGAGTACCAGGCCGGCGCGTCTACGGGGCGCTCCACGCGCGGCGACGAGCTTCGCGAGGGCAGCCTGCCGGTCATGCCGGATCTCTGCCCCGACCCAGTCATCGATCCGGCGAGGAAGGCGATCAACCGAAAGTCTCTGCCGCCCGTCGGCCACGAGAAGGTTTCTTCGCCTCCCAAGAGTCAGGAGGCAACGCCGAAAGACACCCAGGCGGAGGCAGCCGACCTGGACCTCGGCTCGCTGAAGCTGGGCGATTGAGGTCCGTACGTCTTGCATGCTCGTCGTTCCTCCCCATCCGAGAAACAACCGCCGCACGAGCCGGACGCTCAGCACTCGCCTGGTCGAGCCCCTCTTCCACCACAAACGGCCTGCTTCGACGCCTAGGACAACCCTCGGGATCCGCTCGACCTCACCAACCCTCGACGACGAGCAGACACGCCCAGCAATACCGGCCTCGCTCATGGGCTAGACCAGCGGCCAGAGCGAGAGACGCACGCTCGGAAGGGCCAGGCGAGGTCGGGCCAAGAGACCTGACCGTCCCCGCCATCTGCAGCAATGCCCGACGCAGCGCGACCAAGCAAGCTGGCACGACGTCGTGTCAGAGGGCCGCACTGCTGCTCCGTCTCTGCCGCCATCCCCTCCACAGATACGTGCCTCGCTGCTCCTGATACGGCCCACGTTGCATCCCGAGTCCATATTCCCTTTGCACGAGCCTCGTCCCGTCTCTTCCGCTTCCTTGCCCGCTCTCGCAGCAGCAGCAGGGGCAGCAGCAGCCCCCCCCAAAAGGGAAAGGCCAACGCGATCAAAGTGGTCGCATCTCACGCCCTTGCCGCTTTCCCTGGCCACGTCTCTCTGGTTCTTCCTGGTTCCCTCTCTTCTCTATCTGCATGCATCTCTACCCGGCCCGGTCCAGGCTCGCACCCCCTTTTCCCCTGTCGTATAGTCATCGTTAGCCTCCGTCTCTCTCATCCCACTGCGTCGCACTCGGTGTCGTTCCCCTCCTGCATCCTGCGTTCGTCTTTCGTTCCCACTCGAACCCCTGCCCTCCTCCGCGCCCCACTCGTATGCTCCAGTTTCCGATGCTCCTCCTCGGCCCTCCCTCTGTGCACTCTCCCCGCTAATCACTCGCACCACCGCCTCTTCTGCACTCTTTTTCGCTTGTACACTTTTCCCCCCTCCTCCCCTGCTCGACCCTGACGACGACGACGACGACCAGCATCAACACCATCGATCCCGCGACGGCTCCACCACTTCAAACGCAGAGATACCCTCCTCTTCCATCATCACCGCATCCTCGTCTCCAAACGCCAAGGCATCCCACCGCATCTCTCCCCCGCCCACGCTCCCCCCCCCCCCCCGGTCGCCACCAATCAATTGCTATTTTCTTTGTCTTGTCGGCCGGTCTCCCGACCGGACCGTATGCCGTCTCCCGCCGGGCTATTGTGAGGTTCGATGAGGCGATGTGACTAGCCTCGAAGGGTGACGGTTTCGATGGTCGGCTTGCGGTAGCGCTGCCCACAAAGGAAGAGTTGGGATCGGTGGCTGGCAGGCAGCGCGAGACCGTCGCGTCGAGGAAACCTCGAGTAACGATGAAAAGCCCGAGAGAAATTCGTGTAAATTGAAGCGCCAGCTCTACGTGCAAGAGGTGGCTGGGAGCAGGGAGCATCCAGCAGCTAAATGAGAAAGAGACGAGACTGGGCTTCTAGGAGCAAGACTCTTGATACTACTCCTGCAGCTGCTTCGTTGCAGAGTGGCACGTACCTCGAGCGTCTTTGAGGCAGAGAAGGTGACAGCCCAGGCCAGAGGAGGGTCCTGCTGGCTCGGGTCGTGCACGGCCCCTTCGCCGCTCCACATTTAATCCATCCCAAATGAGCGGGCCTCTTCTCAGCCACCAAACCGTCCTCACCCGCACAGCCAATCAAGCTTCCGCACGATGCCGTGAGCGACGGGACAGCAGCACAGCTCGAACAACCCAGAGTCGCTGATCATCAAGATGCTCGGCCGAACGTCGTTCGCACGTGGCGGCGGCGGCAACGACGACGAGGATCAAGACGGAATCGACCTGTTCGAGGCCGAGAACCTCCCTACGCCCGCTCGCAAACCACCGCAAGCCCATCCTGGCTACGGCGGCTCGAGCGGAGACAGCCATAATCCGCGCACCGAAGGGGGCGACGAGCTGGGCACGACCAACGTCGGCCGCAAGATGCTCGAGATGATGGGGTGGCAGGCCGGCACCGGGCTGGGCCTGCACCGCAGCGGACGGGTCGATCCGATCCCCATCAGCGAGAAGAGGGGGGGCGACCTCACGGGTATCGGCAAGGCCTCGATGGACGCCAGAGTCATTGACGTCTCGACAGCGCAGCGAAAGGGGTTGCGCAGCGAAGCCATCATGAACGAGACGGACGAGGAGCGGGTGCAGAGGGAGGTTAGTTGAGCTAGGCCCTGGCTTGCCCTGTGGCGCAAAGAAAGCAAGGTCCAGATGCTGACGCCCATTCCGCAACCTCGCTTTCCCCGACGGACGAACAACGGAATCAGGCCGAAGCAGCGCGAAAGGCGTCGATACAAGCCTCGACTCTGGCGGCGCTGCAGACGTATCGGTGCGATCTGTGCGAGAAGCAGTACCATCTTCCATCCGAGTACGAGGGACACCTCAAGAGCTACGACCACCACCACAAGAAGCGGCTCAAGGAGATGCTCGCCATCCAGCGGGGCAACTCAGCCAGCCAGGCTGCGGCCGACAAGAAGCGCGAGCGCGAGAGGAGGAGAGAGGAAAAGGAAATGGCCCGACTCGCCGGCGCTGCTGGCGTCTCACTCGGCGGAGGCGCTGGTGCCGTGTCAGCTCCGGCTAGCGAGGGTGCGACCGCCCAACATGCTACGGGCGGCGGCGGAGGGGGCTGGACCGCCTCTGTCAAGCCAGCGTCGAGTGGGGGCTGGAAGACCGTCTCTGCCTCGACGACGACGACGACGACGACGACGACCACACCGGCTCACCACGCCGCGACCACGAAGCCGGTCGTCGTCGCGAGCGGCTGGAAGAAGGTGTCGCAGCCCAGCCACCCGGCCGGCTTCAAGCCTATCGCCACTCCGCCTTCGCACCAATCCCCTCCCGCAGCCTCAGGCTTCCGGCCCATAGCTGCCCAGTCGCCCACCACGCTCTCGAACAGCACGGTTAGCACCGTCGGCGGCGGGGGCGGCGGCGGGGGATGGAAGAAGCTGGACGCCATCGGTGCTTCACCTTCCTCGACTTCCGCACCGTCGACATCTACCGGCCCCGGCGGTAAAGCTGCAGCAGCGGCGGCGGGACCGGCGAAGAAGAAGGCTTTTGTCTCTGGCGGCTTCATCACGCTCGATACTTCGACGGTTGCCTCGGTCTCGGATGCCTCCCATCGACCTGGGCTTCAGCCTGGTCCTCCTCCTCCGCCACCGTCTCAGCCACCGCCTCCGCCGTCATCTCATCCCCCTCCACCACCGCCCGGTCCGCCACCACCACCACCGCCAACTCCTTCGACCCTACCGCCCTCACAGCCGCCGCCTCCACCGCCGTGGTAGGCCGCAAAAGCCCCTCGGAAACCATATACCCCTGCCCCCCACCCACGCCGCGCTGAGGACAGCCCGCTCGGAACGGCCGCGCCACGCTGGTGAGCCTCGATGTGTCAGTGCTGTCGATGCTGATGCTGCTCTGTACTATTACAACACGCTAAAGCGATATTCTATCTTTGAGTGGGCCCGAAGTAAGGGCACGCGGGAGGGGGGGGCTCGACGGCGCTCACGCTCAGTTGAAGACGACAGTCTTTGCGCCGTTGGCGAGGACCCTCCTCTCGGCGGTCCACTTGACGGCGCGGGCGAGGACACGGGCCTCGACGTCGGAGCCGGCGCGGACGAGGTCGGCGGGGGTCATTGCGTGGGTGACGCGCTCGACGGCCTGCTCGATGATGGGGCCCTCGTCGAGGTCGGCGGTGACAAAGTGGGCGGTGGCGCCGATGAGCTTGACGCCGCGCTCAAAGGCCTGGTGGTAGGGCTTGGCGCCCTTGAACGAGGGGAGGAACGAGTGGTGGATGTTGATGATGCGGCCCGAAAAGATCTGGCACAGCTGGGGCGAGAGGATCTGCATGTAGCGGGCGAGGACAATCATCTCGACGCCGTACTGCTTGGCCAGCTTGACCATCTCGGACTCCTGCCACTCCTTTGTCTTTCCGCTGGCCGGGTCGATGGGGAGGTGGTAGAAGGGGATGCCGTGGGCGGCGGCGAGGGGCGCGTAGTCGGGGTGGTTGGAGATGATGAGGGGCACCTCGATCGGGAGCGTGTTGGAGGAGATGCGGAAGAGGAGGTCGTTGAGGCAGTGGCCGATCTTGGAGACCATGATGAGGGTGCGGGGCTTTTCCTCTGCGCCGTAAATCTTGACGCTGACCTCTGCGGCGGTGGCAAACTCCTCCTGGAACTCGCGCTGGACCTTTTCGATAAAGGCGGCGCGCTGGGCGGCGTAGCCCTCGGCCTTGGGGTCGGCGTAGGTGCCGTCGGCCGACTCGGGCTCCGAGGCGTGGATGCGCATAAAGAAGGTGCCGGTGGTGGGGTCACCGAACTGGGCCGAGTCCATGATGTTCATGTTGCGGCGGGCGAGGAAGCCGGAGATGGAGTGGACGATGCCGGGGCCATCGGGGCCGGAGAGGGTGAGGATGATCGAGGGCGGAGGGGGCGCCGATGCCGAGACCTTGGGCTTGATCTTGGAGGGGAGGATAGAGCCGTGCTGAGCCGGGGTGGCGGTGGCAGTGGCGGCGGCGGCGGCGGGCGTGGTAGCAGGAGCGGCCATCTTTTCGAGGTCGGCGAGGGATCGGAGGGTGCGAACCTGGCTGAGCTGGGTCGGGACGACGAGAGGTCGGCTGGCGGCGAGGGTGGACGAGCGAAGGGCGATGTTTCTGGTGACGGCGGTGGCAGCAAGAGTGGCGGTCTTGGATCCGATGAGGTTGAACATGGGATCCAGGGGGGCAGGTCGAATGGCGATGCGATTCTGTTGAGAGAAGGAAGGCCAGAGGGGTAGAGGGTGGTGGTGGTGGTGGTGGTGGTAGGTGGGGTCAGAGTTGGACAGAAGATCGACTAGAGTAGCAGCCAGCACAGCGGGCGCGGCGTTTGGCCGAGTCAGAGGCAGCGGCCCGCTGGCTCCAAGTCGATCTTAGCCTTTCTTGCCTCTGCCTGCATGGAGCTGCTTCCCGCCTGCAGCGAAGAACCCTCGCTGTCTGCCTTTGCCCTAGCCTAGGTAGCCTAGCCTCGACCTGCTTCGTCTGTCACCGCCAGCCGAGGCCCGACTTTTTCGGCCAATTTGCGCCGCCGCCGCCGCCGCCGTCGCTTGTGTGGGGGGCCCTGGCCTGGCCGGCCCTTGCTTGCTTGTGGCTCTGCCCGCCTGCCGTGTCAGCCTGCCGTCAGCAGCAGCCGCAGATTGCAAGCTTGGCATCCGTGCGCTCCACCTGGCTTCCACCCCGTATCTCTGTTGCCGCCTCTCCACTTCGCACTCCATCAGCAGCCTTGATCGCCCGCAACAACAACCTGCGCTGCCTCCGACTCCTGACCTCTGTCCTTCAACTTCTTCTCAACACCAGGTCACTCTCCACAAGATGAAGAAAAAGGTGAGTGCCGCCCATGGTGCTTTGGTCCGACGGCGGCAAAAGTCGACCCTCGCTGATCTACATCTCCCCATTTCCCTCCCCTCCCTATCCTCCGCCGCATCCAGGTCCTGCTGATGGGCCAGTCGGGCTGCGGCAAGACGTCTATGCGCTCCCTCATCTTCTCGTCCTACCGCGCATCCGACACCCGCCGCCTCGGCTCCACGCTCGACGTCGAACACTCCCACGTCCGCTTCCTCGGCAACCTCGTCCTCAACCTCTGGGACTGCGGCGGACAGCAGTCGTACATGGACAGCTACCTTGACAGCCAGCGCAGCCAGGTCTTTAGCGCAGTAGGCGTCCTCATCTACGTCTTTGACCTCGTCGGTGCAGAGGGCGAGGGAGAGCAGGAATGGGAAAAGGACGTCCGCTACTATAAGTGAGTCCCCTCGGTCCAGCGTGTGACAGTCGTAAGCCACCATCTCACCCTTCTATGCCTGCCCCTCATTCCTCCAATGACCTGCACAGGGACTGCCTCTCGGCGCTGCACCAGTATTCACCCGACGCCCAGGTCTTTTGCCTGCTCCACAAGATGGACCTCGTCGATCCCTCCCGGCGCCGGGCAGTCTACGCCAGCAGGGTCAAGGAGCTGCGAAGGAAGAGCAAAGAGGTGGCCCTCACCACTGGCGCTGGCGCAAAGTCGTCGAACAGCGCCGGGTTCCGCATCAACTGCTTTGCCACCAGCATCTGGGATGAGACGCTGTATAGGGTGAGCGTGCTTTCCGACGCGCGGGGGCCACGCTAGCAGACACGCTGACAGCGATTCGATCTCTCACCCGCGTCTGATCCCTCCTCCCTCCTGCAGGCATGGTCTCGCATCGTGCACACGCTCATTCCCAACGTCGCCATGCTGGAGCGGCACCTGTCGCAGTTCGCCCAGATCAACTCGGCCATGGAGGTCGTCTTGTTTGAGCGCACCACCTTCCTCGTCATCTCGCGCTCCTCATCAGTCGCCGATGCGGCAGCGGCGTCATCCGGCGGTGCTGCAGCACCGTCCGAGGCGGGAGGATTCGTCTACGACGAGGACGAGGAAGGCATGGAGGGTTTCCGAGACACCGTGGGCCGCACGACTGGCGGTGGAGCCGGGCTGGGGTCAGGCTTCATCACCGGGACATCGCAGCGCGTGCAAACGCCCGGCATGGCGGGCGACCGCAAGTCAAACGGGGCCATGTCCGACGTCAAGCTCAACCCGGAGAGGTTCGAAAAGATCAGCGAGCTCATCAAGAACTTTAAGCTGTCCTGCTCGTGAGTCCGTCTTGCTCGCACGCCAGTGTGCTCGTTCGAGATGCCAGTCTGCTGACGGACCTACATTCCGCCGATGGGGCTTCTGTCGAGTGCAGGAAGCTGCAATCCAACTTCCAAGGCCTCGAGCTGAGAGGCTCCAACTTCACAGCCTACCTCGACGTCCTGACGTCCAACACCTATATCATGATTGTCGTCGCCGATCCCCAGATCCGTGAGTCTGCTGGCCGACGAGGGTGGAGGGCGAGGCAATTCATGTTCTGACTGATCCATTGTCTGCCCTTGCTTACCTGCAGAGCTGGCGGCGATCAAGCTCAATGTCCAGCTCGGGCGAGACCACTTCGAGAAGCTGCAGGCCATCAACCCCGGCCGTGCTTAACCAGGCTTGCCGACGCACACCCCCTTTTCCCCCTTCTCGAACCTCATCCACTCCTCTTGCATTCCTGCATCTGTATACCCGCTCGCCTTGCTATGAGGCAGCTGTAGTCGTCGAAGCTGCAGCCCAGCAAACCACACCTAACAAGCCCAGGACAGCGCACCGCGTTGCGCGGGCCGGAGGCGCAGGCCGGGTGTTCACGGCTAAAAATTCGGATGTCGGGCCGGGATGGCGGCATGTGCACGGACGCCGTCATCGAAAGTCGGGCCGGCCCGCTCGTGCATGCTAAGTTACGGGTCTGCTTGATGCCGCCTCGCTTCTCCTCGCCACATGGCTTCTTCTTGCCACCACCACCACTCGCACACTGCCATCACCCTTGCCACCCTGCGATAGAAGCCAAACATAGACCATGGAAGCCAAAGTCGACGAGCTGTCCAAGTCGGTGCTGAGCCAGCTGGAGGCGTGCGTTTCCACCTCCTCGACGACCACCATCGGGATCGGACTAGGTCTGTAGTCTCGCTGACTCGTCACGCCTTCCCTCCGCCCTTCGCAGCTCGCCACGGGACCATCGGATCCTGATCGGAGTCTGCGGAATACCAGGATCCGGCAAGTCGTCGCTCGCCCAGCGCGTGGTGGGCACGCTCAACCGCCTCTCTCGCTCCTCTCCGCACGGCGCCAACAACGAGGATGACATCGCCATCCTGATCGGCATGGACGGATGGCACTATACACGCTCCGCCCTCTCCGCCTTTCCCGATCCAAAGGAGGCATTCGATCGACGAGGAGCGGAATTCACCTTTGACTCGGCGCGGTTCGCGCGCTTCGTCCAGTCGCTCCGCCGTCCCGGCGAGGAGCTGAGGGCGCCCTCGTTTGACCACGCCCAGAAGGACCCGATCGAGGACGACGTCGTGGTGCGGCCGTGCCACCGCGCCGTAGTTGTCGAGGGCCTCTACTGCAATTGCAACGTGGGCGAGTGGGCCAAGGCGGCGAGCGAGTTTGATCAGAGGTGGGTCTGTCTCATCGCCCGGGACGAGGCGCGGAAGAGGCTCGTCAAGCGCCATGTCGTCACGGGCGTCGCAAAGGATGAGGAAGAGGCGAGATGGAGAGGTGAGTGCTGTTGTTCCCTCGTTGAATGATGTCGCATGGCGGACACGTCGGTCCAAGCTGACGGGCGTCGTTGGTCCCCCCCCTGCCGTTTCCCCCTTTCAGCGGACAACAACGACCTGCCCAACGGCGACTGGTTGATGCAGCATCTCCTCGAGCCTTACACCATCGTCGAGAGTATCGCGGAGCCAGCCTGGAGCTAGCACTGCTCAAACCAGGTGCCAGTGCCGAACTAGAATATGCGACAGGTCGAGAGAAAGAGCAAGTGGGATCCGCAACGCACATCTTCGACCGTCACGTTTCGATTACCGCCTCGAGGCACCGTTGGAGGACGACGCTACGCACAATCCGACCATCCTCGATAGGCTCGAGGAGGTTCTGCTGGACCCTCCAGCGACACCTCACCCTGTTGCCGTCCGCCCCTCGCGCGGCTTCTTCCTCCTGGTTCCAACGGATCGCCAGTGCCTCGGCATCTCGAGGTCCCAGCCGCCCCTCGACGCTGGGAGAGTCGTAGTCGACCACGACCGACCCCGAGACGACTTCGGCCTCGAGCTGGCTGCGCTCCTCGGCCGTGACTACGGTGAAGTGGCTCACGAGGATCGCTCCGCCCGGTCGGACCAGCGAGCGGAGCCGTCCGAGGAGCGTCGAGGGGTAGAAGCGGATCGAGAGGATCAGATCGTAGAAGCCGTCCCCGGGATCGTCCGGCGCAGCAGGGGGATGCTGCGAAGATAGCCTGGATAGACCGGCTCCCTCGAATGCCGCCCATGCCGCTGCCTGCTCCTCGTCGGCCGCAGGGAGGGCGAATGTCTTGCCCTTGCCCGTTCCCACGAGCGGTTCCAGGCTGCCCTCATCTGTGCACTTGGCCCACACCAGTGCGTCACAGCGACCTCGCAGCAGGTCCACACCATCACCGCGTAGATTGAGATCCTCCATGAGAAGGGCGGTGCGGTTCAGGACCGCCTTCCAGTTGTCGAGCCCGACGCCTCGCCATCTCCTTGGCGGTGGGCCAGGCCGACTGCCGGCGGCATCTGCTGTCCGCTCGCGCTGCGAGCCGTACAGGACCCAGGCCATGTCTCTGCCAGCACCGCACCCGAGGTCGAGCAGCGATAAGTCCTGTTTGCCGTTGTCGCTCGCCCCCTGCTTGAACAGGTCCGACTCAATGAGCCGCCTGACTGCATTCGAGGGGCGGAAGAGCAGCGCAGGCCAGTCGTCGTCGGTCGCTGTCCTCAAACGAACCTCATCCGGGGCACAGCTGCGTCGCAGACCCAGGCCTTGCACCTGCTGGAAGAAGGTACTAGCTCTGCATGTTGGATGAGCTTGCGCCGACGGGCCAGGAATTGGGACTGCGTCGTTGTCGCCGCCGCCTTTGTCGTCCTCGTGCTGGAGAAAGAGAAAACGGGCACCGTTGCAGCCGCTAAGCGCCTGCTGCACCTCGATGCGGTCGCGTACATCGGCGATGACGAGAAAAGGTACGGTACGAGGAGGCAGGCAGCTGTAGCGCGCCTTGATGTGGTGCAGAGGGTAGATGTGGGTGGCGTGGGCGATGTGGGCCGCTGCAAAGCGGTCGGTTTGCCGGAGATCGAGGACGAGCCGTGGCGTCGGGAGCGACAGGTAGACATCGATGCCCGCTGTGTCGCGGTGGCCGGTGGCGGTCGAGGATTTCCAGCCACTTCGTGGCAGGCAGTCGAGCTCGGAAGCCATCGAAGGGGACGGTGGTGGTGGCGGTGGACGAGGATGCTGGGTGGTGGGGGAAGAAGATACGCCTTTCGGATGTCGGTCGCTTTGATTTCGCCGCACGTCCCTTTCCTCGGTTTTGCCGTTGTCACCTCCACCCGGCTGCCTCTGTCGATTTTTTTTTCTGTTGGCCCCTGCGACGGTCAAACGGCGCTCATTTTCTTTGCGCTTGACTGCCAAAGGTGAATTCATGATTTGCGGGCTGCACAGATTTTGGATTTTTGTTGCAGCAGCGGCGTTTTTGGGTGGCCCAACCAGGCAGAACCCTTGAGCCTGCTTGCCCTGGACCTCGGACCTGGCCTGGCCTGCTCGACAAGGCCAAGCCCCCCTCGACTCCCTTCCGCCGTCCCTCTTTCCCTCTTTCCCTTGTCGCAACTCGCCACCGCCATCAAACATCGCAGCACCCTATCTTCGCACCACGACTGTCCCTTCGTCGAGGTCACGCCTGGGCAGCCCACGAAAGCACCTCTCTGCCTCCACCTCCTCTGTGCCCTCGCAGGTCGAGGTCGCACACGCAGCCATGCAGGCGGCCCACCAGATCGTCCAGCCCTCGACCCCGGGCACCCCCCTCCTCCGCACCGTCGAGTCGGCAGAGGGCCTCGGCACCCCTTCGAGCCCTTCGTTGCAGCCCATCGCCAAGCCCAGCGCAGGAGGGCCGAGCACCCGCTCAAAGACGTGAGTCGCCAGCCTCTCTCGTATGTCGATTGCCCGAGGCGATGCGCTCAACCCGCAGAAACCCTGGCCCTGATCCTTCATCGTCCCGCAGCATCGTACTCGCTGAAGCCGGTAGGCCTCCTTGGTACAATGCTGCTGGTCAGACTGTACCGCCCTACATTGTCGGCATCGCCGGAGGATCCGCCAGCGGCAAGACGTCGGTAGCACGCGCCATCCTCGAGAAGCTGCCCAACGTCCCGTGAGTGGCCCGTCCGACCAGCCGGCAGAGGACTACGCTCGAGCGCTGCGCTGGCGGGCTGAACCATGCTTCGACGCATCTGCTCCTGCACTGCCGCTCGCTCGCCCCGCGCACAGTCACATCGTCATCATCAGCCAGGACAGCTTCTACAAGCCGCTCACCAAGACCGAGAGCGAGCGCGCGTTTCGTTCCGAGTACGACTTCGACCACCCATCTGCCTTTGACACCGAACTCTTCAAGGCCACCATCGACAACCTGAGCCGCGGCATGGCCGTCGAGGTGCCCGTCTACTCGTTCGTCAAGCACAACCGTCTGCCCGACTCCAACTACCTCTACGGCCCCGCCGTCCTCATCGTTGAGGGCATCTTTGTCCTCCACGACCCAGAGCTGCGCGATCTCCTCTCGCTCAAGATTTTTGTCGATCTCGACTCGGACCTCATGCTGGCGCGAAGGATCCTGCGCGATACCGTCGAGCGCGGGCGTGACCTCTCCGGCATCATCAGCCAGTACACGCGCTACGTCAAGCCCAACTACGAGCGGTACGTCTCGCCCACGTCAAAGCACGCCGACATCATCGTCCCCGGCGCCAACAACGAGGTGGCCGTCGACATCATCAGCCAGCACATGGAGAAGCAGCTGCGCAGCCGGGCCATGCGCCTCCGCACTGAGCTCTCAAAGACGCCAGCCACCCCGCACGTCGAGTCCGCCAGCCCCTTTGACACCATGACTCCGCTCGCCAAGACGCCCTCGCTCGGGCTCGCCAACACGCCGCTGCCCAACACTGTCATTCTCTTGCCGCAGACGCCGCAGCTCCAATCGCTTCTCACCATCTTGCACGACCGCTCCACGCCCACCTCGGACTTTACTTTCGCCTGCAAGCGCGTCGGGACCCTGGTCGTCGAGCGGGCGGCCGCCCTGCTTCCCTACCGCCAGCAGACGGTTCAGCTGCACACGGGCGGCTCCTACACCGGCATGGAGCTCGACGTCTCGAGCATCTGCTCTGTCTCGATCCTGCGATCCGGCTCGGTGCTGGAGCCATCGCTGCGGCGCGCGTTCCCGGCCATGTCGCTGGGAAGTCTGCTGATCCAGTCCAACGAGGAGGACGGCGAGCCTTACCTCTACGATGTGTCGCTGCCGTCGTTCGTTCGACGCAGGAGCTCGGCGGAAAAGTCGTGGGTGCTCCTCCTCGACGCCCAGATCGGCACGGGCGCTGCTGCCTTCATGGCGATCCGGGTGCTGCTGGACCACTCGGTGCCCGAAGATCAGATCATCTTCCTCACGTTGCTGGCGAGCGCAAAGGGAGGTGTGCACGCGCTCCACCGCGCCTTTCCCAAGGTCCGCATCGTCGTGGCCGGCATCGACCCGGGGCTCGAGAAGCTGCGCATCCCGCTCGCGGACCGCCGAGCGTCGGTCTCGGCCGACCACGCGCAGTCGACCTCTGCCCACCAGACGGTCCAGGTGTCGCGCTCGGCGCCGCACCACGCCGCTCCAGCTCGACCCGACGAGCCGGCAAAGGGCGACCACCCGACCAACGTCGATGGCCAGGGTCGGGGGCGGGCCAAGCCGAGACAGGACAGTCTGGGCGTCACGTCTCCGCCCGCCAAGAACAGCCGCGTCGTCTTTGCCATTACGCCCGGTTGCGGATCCATCGGCGACCGATTCTGGGGAACGGGTGCCAAGTAGCGAGGGTCCAGCCCAGCCCCGCCCATCCCCGCCGGCCGGATCCGCACATGCCCATGTCTATCGTCCCACCACGTCGTTTACGGAAGTCACAAGAAAGCATCTCCAAACCCTTAGCATATCTCTCGCGCACCGACATACACCCAAAGAATACACACACATCTGCATCGCCAACGTATCTACGTCGCCGCGCTGTCACTGGTCGTCGAAGGACGTCGAGGAGCAAAGGCTCTGACGGGGGCCGGGACGGGTAGGCCCGCTTCAGAGGTCCTCCTCGTTGACGAGCTCTCCGACGATGCCGTACTTGCCGGTGAACATGGCTTCCCACTCCTTCATGTTCTTGCTACAAGCGGGCAAGGAGAGTGAAGAACGACCACGTCGCCGTGTCAATATCGATGCTCTCGAGGCCAACCTCGGCGCGGGGGTCAGCAGACTCACATTTCGCTGGGCGCAAGATCCTCGAGCTTGTCAATGGGCCTATCGAGCGGGGTGATCATCTCGAGGTCAAAGCTCTGCTTAGCCATGCCCCTGCTCGCGTCCCTGCCGGCAAAGTTGCCATAGGGACCTCCGGGCCCGTAAAAGTTCTTGCCAGACGTGACGTCAAAGACTTTGCCGTTGATGGCGAGCAGGATGCGGGGCGAGGCCGACGAGTCGGTGCCGTCGTAGAGGGCGAGGGTGCGCGGCGTGTACCGCTTCCACTCGACCGTGTCCGGGTGGCGCGGCGGGAGGTACGAGTAGCGGTCCGACGGCGCCGTGGCGTGCGAACGCGCCTGGGCGATGGTGGGCGTCCATTTGGCCGAGGTCGGAGACGAGGGCAGGAGTAGTGGTAGGGCGATGTAGATGAGGATCGAGAGGAGGACGAGGTTGAGCGGGTTGGTGAATAGCGGTTCTGCCGTCTGTCGGAGCGAGGCAGGGAGAGAAGTGCATCAGTCAGGGCTTTCGGTAGATGGTCATGGCAACCTTTCCCGGCTCAACCTACCGTGGTGAGCCTTTCCCACGTCGACGGGACATGGCTTTCGCTGCCGAAGATTCCGCTAAAGAGTCCAGACATGGCGTCGGAAAGTGCAAGCAAGTTGATGGGGACGGCGGTGGCAGTGGTGGTGATGGACGAGAAGGAAGCCAGCCAGGGCGATATGCGCTCGACTTGGCCTTCGGCGCCTCCACATCCTGGCCGGGCGCCGATCCCGCTGCTGGCACGGCGTTCTATCGTCGCGCAGCCACCACCACCCACCAAGGCCATTGCGAGACTGCATCCTTGTCCACCTACTTCTTCCTCAACGCGACGAGCGCTTCTTCATCGGGGCCATGGTGTACGGCTTCCTTTGACCCCCCGCATCGGATCGTGCAAAGCCAACGACGAAGCGGCGGCCATGTTGCGGAACGCCGTGCAGCCGTCGCTGGTGTCGCTCTTCTCGTCGACGTCGTCGTCACCGTTTGCTGTCTTCTCGATGCACGTCGACCTTGACCTGCCCGAAGATTCGGGCCTGATCCTGCTGCGCGATCACGACGACCGGCGCGCCGATATACCCGCCAACGATGCCACTGAGCTGCAGCGAGATCCGCGCCGGTTCCAGCTTCGCGTCGATGCGCCCGGCAGCGGTCAGAGCTCGATGCGCGGCCTGCTCGAGGATACGGTGCTGCACATCCAGTCGCCTACGATCAAGACGACCTTTATTCGCACGCCCCCGCTCAACGAGCGCAGGAGCAGCTCGGGCGAGGTGCTGGGGCTCGAGCTGCCCTACCTTCACCTCCAGTTCCGTCCGCTCGGCTCCAAGCCGTTCATGGTCGAGGTCGGCGTGCGCGACATCCGGGGTAAGCGGGCCAGGATCCGACTGAGCAACTTCCAAGCGCAGCCCGCTCTCTACCTCGTCAAGGCAAAGGAGATCGTTGGCGAGGCGAGCGTCGCTCGACAGTCTCGGGACATCCGAGAACAGGCCCAACAATCAAGGAGCGACAACGGCCCCATACTCCATTTGCCCGTCGCCCTGCCCGCCGATCCGCAAAACGAACCGACGAGCTTCACGCCGTGGCTATCCGTCACTCTTTCGCTTGCCAAGCTCATGCCTCACTTCAACAACCCCAAACTGCTCGCCCTGTCGTCGGCAAGAGCGCTGGCAAGACCACACGGCGCGCCCCAAGACGAGCGGGATGATCCGCAGGAGTCCGCGCCCGCTCGCCGTGTCTTTGAGCGCCTGGATCGCTTCCACTCAATCGACTACGTCGCCGTGCACGCCAACCTGCGGCTGCGGCGAATCTGGTGCTCGACGACCCACGACGCTGCGACCAACCAGGACGAACTGCAGGTCTTTGCCGCAGCCCTCGGGCCTTGAGTTCGATGTCATGTATCATAGCAGGGTTGTTGCTGCTTGTAGCCTCTCTGGGTAGCCATGCTGTGCGAAGCGTTTGGCGCACACGTACGCTTGACCAGCGACCAAAGTTGCGTCGTGGCCAGGCCCGGTCCGGCCTCATGGCCTCCAGCGCATGGCATCGTAGCGGCGAAGATCCCCTCTCTCCCCCTTTGGCCCCTCGGCCTCCACCTGCTTGCGCTCATCTCTTTCAAACTTAACCCCGCCTTCGGCTGCCGCCGAAGCTTCGGGCGAGCCGATGCTCGAAGAAGACCTCTTCGTCCAGACGTCCGTGATAGTCCGAGGAGCTGCCTGCCTGCCTGTCGGTAAGCAGCCGAAAAGCTCTTGCTCCCCCGCCACCACCACCACGTCACTTCGAGATAGACCTCGCGCCATCATGTCGAAGCCATCTGCGCAGGACCAGATCGAGACCATCGCCCGCCCGCTCACATTTGCGCGCGGCAAGCGGGCACCGAACCGTTTGGCCAAGGTGAGTGTCGCGGGTGCCACCTCTCGCCCAAGTCGTCGTCTTTGCGAGCCTGCCGCCTGACTCGCAGTCGGTGTTCATGCCCGCCTCCCTCTGACAATGTCGGCAGGCTCCGATGGAAGAGATGCTGGCTCAGATGGGCGGCGGTCCGCCGACGCCGGCCCACCTCGAGCTGTACCGCAGCTGGGCGCGCGGCGGCTGGGGCATGGTCATCACAGGCAACGTGGCCATCGACAACACCCACCTCGGCACGCCCTTTGATGTGACCACGCCCCCGGACAGCGCCAACGCCGCCGAGAGGCAGAGGTTCAAGCAGGCCTTCAAGCTCTACGCCGACGCCGTCACGGGACGGGATCAGGCCGACGTCGTGCCCTCTTCGCAGCGTCCGCTGGGCGTGGTGCAGCTGGTCCACGCCGGCCGCCAATCGATGCGTGGGTCGGGCAGGGGCATCATGACCGACCCCATCGCCCCCTCGACGGTGCCCATGCGACCCACGGCGCACCTGGGGCCCTTTGGCACGGTGCTCGACAAGGTCATGTGGGGCACGCCCATCGAAATGTCGCTCCAGCAGGTGCAGTGGCTCAAGAACCGCTTCATCGAGGCCGCAAAGCTGTGCGAAGAGGCCGGGTTCGACGGCGTCGAGCTGCACGCCAGCCACGGGTACATGCTCGCCGCCTTCCTCAGCCCGCTCACCAACACGCGCAAGGACCAGTACGGCGGTGGCGCTGAGAACCGCGCAAGGCTGCTCCTCGAAATCGTCGACGGCGTGCGCGCAGCTACCGGCGACGACTTCCTCGTCGGCGTAAAGGTGAGCCAGCGTGCGTTTGCTGTTCGTTTTAGAGTGCTGGCTAAACTTCGATTCTGTCCTTCATCTGCCCCTACAGCTCAACTCGAGCGACTACGTCCAGGGCGGTCTCACTGAGGAAGACGCCCTGCTGAACGTCCGATGGCTCGCCGAGAACGGGGGCGTAGACTTTGTCGAAATCAGCGGCGGCAACTACGAGAACCCATGTAGGTCCCGCTGTGTCGGTCTCGCCCTCACCTGTGTCCTCTGAACGTCTCTTTCTGACGCTGTCATGCCCCGCGCTCCCTACGGCGGCACCCTCCCACCAGCTTTTGTCATGGAGGGCTTCGACTCCGAGGCCGAAAAGGCCAAGGTATCGGGCAAGCAGTACCAGCCCAAGACTTCGAAGCGTACAGCGGCGCGGGAAGCCTTCTTCGCCTCGTTCTCGCGCCAGTGCCGCTCGGTCGTGACGCCGCCATCGTCTTCGCCCGAAGAGACGCGCCTCAAGCTGATTCTCACGGGAGGCCTTCGGACCCGAGCTGGTATTGCCTCTGTCCTCTCGCCCTCCTCTGATCCGGACAACGATGGCGCCGGCGTCGACATGGCATGCCTGGGTCGGCCTGCTGCGCTGTATCCCGACCTGCCGCGCCGCCTCCTCGATCCGGCGCTCCCCGACATGGAAGCTGACACGCCGAGGTACACCATCCCAGCCGTCGGTGCGCTGGGTCTGCTGCCGATCAAGCTCGTCGGAGCAGGTTGGGGAACGTGAGTCTGCAAAAGGGAGCCCGCCTGTGTCCCCACAAGACTGCGCTGCTGACAAAAGCTTCCTCGCCCGACCCTACACTCTCAGAATGTGGCACTCGCTCATGATGGCGCAGATCGCCATCGGATCGACGCCGGACCCAAAGGCTTCGGTCATCAAGCTCTTCCGCGACCTCGCCGGCGCCCCGACGGGCAAGAAGCAGGCCGAGGGCGAGTCGCAGGGCGCCTTTTTGCTGCGCTGGGTGGCCATCATCGTCGTCTTCCTCGCCGTGGGACAAGGCCTCCTGTTCTCCTACCTCCGCTCGTGACGTGACTGTCACCGATGGGAACAAGGATCGGTTCGACATGGAGGGAGTTTAGAATCGACGGCGCATCGTTGCTTCTGCTTACAACGAAATGATCGTGGGGGGAACGACTGAGGACGCGGGGAAGAGGACCTACAAGGGGCCATAGCGGCGACGCGGCGGAGGATCGTAGGGCGGCCATGACCTCGAGCTACTGATCTGCGTGTCAGGAGAAGCGACAAAGCTCGATCCGTCCGAGGAAGACGTGTAGATCGAGGGAGATCGGGCATCGCTGGCGTAGCTGGAAGCTGGACTTCCGGGCAGACGACGGTTTTGGAAGGGCATTGAGCGGTGCTGCGACAGGGCTGAGGCGGGACTGCTGCCGGCGTCCAGGCTGTGACCCTGGCCGCTGAAGGGCGACCTCAAGCCGCTTCCAGATGTGTACGACTCGTCCATGGAGACTCGACCGCCGTTGGAGGCAGGCGAGGTCCTGCGCGAGGGAGGGGGAGCTCTGTACGGTGTCGAGGGCGAGGAAGAGCCTGTCTGTCGGCTGTAAGCCCGTCTTTGAGTGGTAGGGTCGTCGGCTGAGATGCGCTCCGACTCCAGGCGCCTGGGCGGGTCGACCAGATCGTTGCCGCCCCTGTATAGGGTGGATCGGTCCTGACCAGCGTGCGCCTCGCCGCGTGTGCGACTAGACGAGGCGAGACCGCTCGGCGCAAGACGCGAAGAGTAACTTGGCAAAGACGCTCCCGGCAAAGGACCTGCTTCATCGAGGTGGTCCGGATCGTTGTCTCGGTCCATCGATGTGCGACTACCTCCAGGCGGCGCCATTCGGGGCGACTCGTCCGCCTCGGAAGGATAACTTCTCGACGAAGGGGCTGTGGAGAGGCTGTATCGGTTGGATCGGCCCTCTGCGATCGCCCAGCTGGGTGAGCTAGGACCGTCTGGTGAGAACCCGGAAGAGGCGGTAGCGAACGTTGACGGGTTCGACACTGCACCACCATCTGATGACGAGCGATACACGGGGAAGGCGGGCAAGCTCGCCGTCGAGCGAAGCGGGAATGGATCGGGAGAAGCTGGTGACAGTCTGGCGGCCGAGCGTTCGTCCTCGAAGCGGGTTCGGCGAGGCAGATTGACTGAGCCGCCCTGAGCGGGCAAGCCATGCTTGGAATCGGCGAGCTGACCCTTGCCAAGGGCCTTGAGCTTTCCGAGCGTCTGCGATGCCAGCGAGGTGCGCTTGGGAGGCGCGACGCCGTTGCGACCGACCATACGCGCCAGCTCTCTCGCCATGGCTTCCTGAGTCTTGGTGATCCTGTCGGCTTTTGCCTGCTTCTTGGCCAGGTTGCGCGAAAGTCTCTCGGTCTCGCGGGCCAGGGCCTCGGTCACTTCCTGGTTCTCCCGCAGTCCTTGGAGGAGCTGTTGGCGTAGCGGTGCCAGGATCTTGGACTTGGGATCGCCCGTGGACTCGGCAAGCTGCGCCTCGACGTTTTTGACCTTCTCCTGGTGCCTGTTCCGCGAACGCTCGACGAAGCCAAACTGGCCGGCCAGTGTGCTCCTCTGCGGCTCGTCTTCAGCTTTGATCGTGTTCGCTTTGACCACGTTGCCTGCATTGCTCGAGCTCGATGCGTCGAGCCGTTTCAGCCCATCGAGCTTGAGCAAGTCCTCACCGCCGATTGCCTTCTTTCCCGAGACGAACTGCTCGAGCGCATCTCGCTCCGCCGGGTCGTCGATGTGGAGAGGGACGTGGAACGTCTGATCGAAGAGCTCAAGCTTGAGGACGTTGGCAGGAGGGTGGATGGCATTCTTGATGTTTTTGACGATGTCGGAGGGCGAGACTGGGCTACGGCGTTCGAGGGTGGCACGGAGCGAGCGGTGTCGAAGATCGTCGACGGGTGCGAGGAAGGGAGAGTCGGCGGCAGGTAGAGCGCGTGCGGGTAGAGGGTCCGACAGAGAGAAAAGAGTCAAGGCAAGGAGGGAGGCAGAGTTGATCAAATGGCTGAACAGCATTGTGGACACGAGTCATGAACGGGGTCGAGGCAGCGTGGAGAAGGACGAAGGAAGAGGGGGGCGGGATGGGAGGCGGCGGAGATTCCTTTGGCGTTCTTATAGGCCGGCCCTCACTGATACAGGCCACTGGTCGCTACCCCCGGCCTGGTCTGATGCGCTTTGCGGGGCACAAAGGCGACGCCAGAACGCCTCCTGGCTCGGGGCTGAGCCGTGTGCGCCCCGAGTGCGGGGCTGTCGTCGCTGACCGTCCTGGCATGCTGGATCCATGGAGGCTGGCTGCATGGGGCCCGCACCTCGAAGGGTACTCACTGTTATTTTGCACGCACTTGTGACTGTCCGTGTCCCCCTCAATGGTCGAAAGGCCAAGACGCAGGGTAGGATGGGCTACGACGGTGTATCGAAGCAGGGGCCGGGTGGCGACGCGGCCCACGACCCGCGCGAGAGAGAGAGAAAGAGGGAACCTCCCCTGCTTCGGAGGAACGCAGGCCGCTAAACCCTTTTTGGGATGCAGCCGGCGCCCACTTTTTTTCTTCTTTGCCCAACGTCGCCGCCCGCCGGCCGGAGGGATGCGCAATGTGGCAGCATGCTCGCCTTTTATTCCGCCGTCATTCGACCGAGTCACTACCACCGCACGATCCACGTCCGTACCGCTCGTCGGCAACGACATCACCACGCCATTGCCGTCTCCTCACAATCACCACCGTCCCTTGCCACTACCTCGAACGAACTCAGGGTCACGACTCACGCCTGCACCGACGCCCCGGGTCTCTCAGTCAAACATGGCCACCCCCTCGCCCGCCGCCAGCTCTTCCTCGACGGCCGGCGTCGCCGCCGCCGCCGCCTACCATGCCAACCCGACCTGGAGGCAGAAGCACCAGGCGCAGCAGGTCGACTACCCGTCGCAGCAGGCCGTCGACTCGGTGCTGCAGCGTATCGGCAAGTTGCCCGGCCTCGTATCGCCCTACGAGGTCGACCGCCTGCGCACCCAGCTCGCCGCCGTCGCAGAGGGCAAGGCCTTCCTCCTCCAGACGGGCGACTGCGCAGAGCTCTTCGACTACTGCAACCCGGAACAGATCCAGGCGAAGCTCAAGCTCTCGCTGCTCATGAGCCTGATCCTCATCTGGGGCGCGCGCAAGCCCGTCGTCCGCATCGGAAGGATCGCGGGACAGTACGCCAAGCCCCGGTCCAAGCCCACCGAGACCATCGTCCGCGTCGACCCGCAGACGGGCAACACGACCAAGGAGGAGATCATCTCGTTTCGCGGCGACAACATCAACGCTTTCAGCCCGGACCCGCCCAGCGGCCGCATCCCGGACCCGGAGCGCCTCCTCCAGGCCTACTTCCACTCGGCGGCGACCGTCAACCACATCCGCTCCGAGCTCTCGAGCGGGCTCGCTGATCTCCACGCCCCTCGCCAGTGGTCCTTCCAGCACGTCCAATCTCGGGCGCTGCAGGACGAGTTCGAGTCGGTCGTCGACAGCCTCACCGATGCGCTCGACTTTATGCGCACCATTGGCGCCGATCCGGGCGTGGGCAACAACAACGTCCTCAACTCGGTCGACTACTTTATCAGCCACGAGGGCCTCGCACTCGACTACGAGGAGGCGTTGACGAGGCTCGTGCGGAGGCCGACGCCGTCCAACCCGTCCAGATCGACCTTCTCCCACGAGGCGGCGGCGGCGGCGGCGGCGGCAGCAGCAGCGGGAGGGGCCGACGGATCGTCGCAGAGCAATGAAGTCGAGGCGGTGGATCGCTACGCCCTTTCTGCCCACACCGTCTGGCTCGGCGACCGGACGCGGCAGCTCGACGGTGCCCACATGGACTACTTTGCCTCGATCCGCAACCCGGTCGGCATCAAGGTCGGGCCGTCGATGAAGCCGCAGGAGCTCATCGAGATCCTCGACATCCTCAACCCCGACGTTCCGCTGTCCTCGGGCTCAGACGAAGAGGGAGGTGAGGGCTCCCACAACGGTACCGTCCGCTACGGCAAGGAGAAGGGCCGCGTGATGGTCATCATCCGTCTTGGGGCCAGCAAGGTGGCGTCGCTCCTGCCGCCCCTCCTCTCGGCCATCGCCGCCTCGTCGCACTACGACTCGATCATCCTCCTGTGCGACCCCATGCACGGCAACACGCAGACGTCGCCCTACCCGCCCACGTCGACCGACCCCTCGGCGCAGCCGCTCAAGACACGCTCGTTTGGCGACATCATCTCCGAGATCCTGCACTTCCTCGACATCATCTCGACCGACTTCCCCACGCTGCGCGTCGGCGGCGTGCACCTCGAGCTGACGGGCGACAAGGACGTCACCGAGTGCTTTGGCGGATCGATGCGCCTCCGCCCCGAGGATCTCGAGCGCGGCTACAAAAGCCACTGCGACCCGCGCCTCAACTTTGAGCAGAGCCTCGACGTCGCCTTCCTGCTGAGCCACTACTTCCGCAAGCAGAGGCTGCAGAAGCGCAAGCAGGCGGCCTGGGGTGGGAGCGGTGCCGAGGGAGCAGAAAAAGTGCCGGAGCCGCCAACGACCGAGGAGGTCAAGCTGCGGCAGAAGGCCATCATCGAGACGGGGTCGGGAGACGAGCTGCTGGCCCAGCTCATCTGCGGCATCACCTCGAGGTAATTGTTCGACCGCGTGCGTGCTCCAGAACATTGACCGGCAGTGATGGCCAGCGCGGTGCGAATGCGCCCGGGAATGCAAAAAGGGACGCTCAGTTGCTCTTCCCAGCCTCGAACCTGGTCTGGTCTGTGCGGCTGCTGGATCGCCCTTTGGCGACTGACCGTGCGCGTTTGTGAAGTGCAGGCAGCAGGGTATTGCGCCAGTCTGGGATGACTTTTGGCCAGAGCCGGCCTGGCGTGCATACGTCGCGTAGAGACGAGCCATGCGCCGCTTCGCTGCGATGTCGAGGAGAGCGGGTTGCCGCTAGCCAGATCGGAGCTGAGCTCGGCCGTCGAGCTGGCTGACTTTGGGCCACGATCCGCGTCCCCGCCGTTGCTGCCAACTGGCGCCGCCCTCACGGGCCCTTGTGGCGCTTCGATAAGCCAGGTGACTGATAGCGAGCCAAGCCGGATCGTCGCGTGCCGGGACTTGCCCGCTCGTCTGCTAACCGTGGCCGCGAGATGGTCGCGAGGACCGACGATGGCGCCACGGAGCCCCGACCAATCGCGATGGCTCGATCCGCGCGAGAGCACCAGGCGCAAGGAGGAGACTGGCGGTTGAAGCCCAGCGTCGAGAGGGAGAGTCGTTGATGGTGTGGCGACGACGAGCAGCGGCAACATGGGCAGGACGTCACGTATACAGATCAACTCCTCACCGTTATGAGCCAGGCTTGTCCCCCATCCCCTCCCTCAGCTCGACATCCTCGCCTCCCTCTCCGCTCGACTCCCTCGACTTCCTCCCTCGTCCTCAGCCTTGTCCAGCCGCCGCTCTTTACCCATCGCTTTCCTTGTTGCTTTGCTTCCCCTATCCTCCTTCGCCCGACATCGACCCATCCGTTGGCCCCCCTCCTTCGCCCGGCACCGTTCCCTCGGTCGAGTCGACCGCCCTCGCCATGCGCTTTGCTCTCTTCTGCCTCCTTTTCCTCGCCTCGACGTCGTCGCTGTCGCTGGCCACGCCCGTCCTGCCCCACGAGCCGCGCCAGTTTGACCTGCATTTCTGGGCGCCATTTGCCTCGTCGACGATCCACCCGGGCGTCAACGCACTGACGAGCGGCAGCTGCACCGCCAACTTCATCTTTGTCCAGGGCAGCGAGGTCTACATCGGCCAGGCCGCCCACTGCGCCAGCAGGTCGAGGACCGAGACCAACGGCTGCCGCGCCGAGACCATGCCCGAGGGCACGCGCGTCATCATCACGGGCGCCAGCGCCCCCGGCCGCCTCGTCTACTCGTCGTGGGACCGCATGAAGCGGCGCAACGAGCAGAACGACGACGTCTGCGGCTACAACGACCTCGCCCTGGTCCGCATCGACCCGCGCGACCACGCCCGCGTCAACCCGTCGCTGCCGAGGTTTGGCGGTCCCACGGGCCTCCGCACCGACGTGCTGCAGGCCAACGAGACCATCTACGGCTACGGCAACTCGACGCTGCGCATGGGCAAGTCGGAGCTGAGCCCCAAGTTTGGCCGCGTTATCCGTCCGCAGGGCAACGGCTGGTCCTACCTGGTCCAGGTGCAGCCGACGGGCATCCCCGGCGACAGCGGCAGCGGCTTCATCGACCGCGAGGGCAAGGCGTTTGGCGTGCTCGCCACGCTCCAGGAGCGCACGAGGATCAACGGCATCGGCAACCTCGACCGGGAGCTCGAGTACGCCAGGACCTTTTCCGACTTTGCCAACTTGCAGCTTGTCTTGGGCACCGAGCCCTTCAACGTGGAGCTGGCGGCCGAGGCCGATGGCCTGGACTGGGATTGACGGGTGGCGGCGAGGTGCGACGAGGTGATCCGCTTGAGATCGCCCACCGGCCGGGGTTTTGCACGCGGCGGCGTTGTCGTCTTCCCTTGCCCTTCTCTTTCCGGTCCGCTTGACGGTGATGCGCGATGGACGCTATGGTCTCTGCTCTACCAATCAAAGGCGCCCGGCATCGACTTTGCCTCTTCGACTTTAGAGTTTGCCTTTTCGCTCTGCTTGTGCGCGGGATCGATGGCGTGCGGACCCCATCTCTGCGACCAGGCGAGCTTCTCTTCCTTCCAGAGCGTCTTTACGCACGGATCGCAGCTGCTTCCGCAGCAGTCGGAGGGCGCGGGCGGCGGGGGTGGGTCGTTGTGCGGTCTCGAGGCGGCCTTTATGAGCTGCTTTTTGCGCGTGTTTGTGAGCTTGCGCTGTGCGAGGATGGAGGGCACCTCTGCGGGGTCCGCGAAGGCCGGTTGTGGCGACGCTGCGAGGTCCGGATCGGTCATGCTAGGCGCTCAGCCTTGTCCGCGGTTGCTTGCCGGAGGATGAGGTGGTTGGTGGAAAGAGACGAAGGAGTAGAATAGGAGTGGTCGAGTCGGGTTTCTTCGGGAGGGGCCAGTCGGCCGCCTTCGAGGGGCAGACTGTCTGGTGGGACCCTGCATCTCGGGTTGCGTGGGGGTTGGTTACACGACTCCCTCCGCCTGGACCATGCGCATCTTGCTTCGCCCACAACGTCCACCTCCTCGTCCCTCTGGACAGTCTTCTAGCGCTTGGCTGCCGGCCATGGTCCACTACGCCAGCTGCACCACGGTGCTCCAGTCCCTCTCGAACGGCTACACTCTCGAGACGCAGATCCAGGACCCGCCACCAACATCGTCAGCGCCGGATCAGCACGGGCCACGGGGCATCGCTCTACTCGCCCATCCCCTCGGTCGCCTCGGCGGCAGCCTGCACGACCCGGTGATCCGGACGCTCTCGCACCGCTTGGTCACGCTAGGCTACCGCGCCGTCGCATTCAACTCGCGCGGCGTCGGGCAGAGCTCCGGCTCGCCCTCCTGGACTGGCGCGGGGGAGTGCGAAGACATCCAGCTGCTCCTTCGCCACTGCCTCGAGACATGGATGTCGGACTGCGAGCGGAGAGCAGAGAGGGAGGTGGACGTCGTCGTCGTCGGGTACTCGGCGGGCGGGCTGTACGCTTCGAAGCTCGACCTCGACCAGGCGCTCCGGGGCTACGAGCGCAGGTGCGAGGTGCGGCTTCGTCTCGTCCTCGTCTCCTACCCGCTCGACGTCGTGTGGGCCCTCTCCATCTTCCGCACCGCAAGCTACACCGCTGGCCTCGAGAAGCTCCTGATTCTCGATCCCGCGACCGCGTCCGAGTCCTCGGAGTCGACAGCAACAGAGACAGTTGCGCCGCATCCAGCCTCGCTCCTCGCTTTGTATGGCGATCAGGATCAGTTCACAAAGGTCAGCAGCTACGACGCCTGGGTCGAGAGGCTCAAGTGCCTTGCCCAGGGCCAGGAACGGGTCACGGCCGTCAAGTTCCAGGGTGCCGATCACTTCTGGCGGAGCAAAGAGCTGCTCGATCAGCTGGCGGACACCGTCGAGCGGTGGCTCCAGACCGCGTCATGAGGGCGGATGACAGGGTCTATGAAGTTGCTCAGCTGTCGTCGCTGCGACGATAGAGGGCGATAGCGATACAAGTACTGCTGCGTCCGAGGGCGACGCTTCTACATGGGCGATTCGGTGATCCGGGCCGCCGCTGCTGGCGGATGCGCTCTACTACTGCCACCGCTATTTGGTGCCACGAACGATAATGATACCCCTCGAATGGTCCACGTCGTATCTCCACCCTTCCCTCTCGAGCATCTTGGCCACCGCCGGACGAAGCACGGCAATCTGATGCGGGCTGTGTCGCCCGACGCCCGTGATGATCTTGAACGGCGCGAGGTGGCCCGACGTCGACGGGCGCGCATACCACCGCGTCACCTGCTCGCGCACAATCGACAGTGCCTCGTGCACCGTCACGCCGTGCAGGTCAATGGTGTTGAAGGCGTTGGACTGTCCTCCCGAAGATCCTCCGCCGCCGCCGACAGGGGCCCGGAGATGGCTCGAGACGTCGCCCCGCACCACGCCGACGCCGGCGCGTCGACGGTCCTCGACGAGCGCCTCGGCCGCCTTGAGGCTCCACGCGCGCGATTTGGCATCCAGCCGCCTGGCCTCGTCGGCGTAGTACCAGGCCGTGCCGCCCTTGCCGCCATCGCCGCCTTTGCCGCCGATGCGCACGCCGCCCTTGCCGGAGCGCCAGGCGTTGCCGGCCTTTCGCAGCGCCTCGTCGCGCCGCTGTCGATACTCGTCCGCGATCAGGCGGTACTCGGTCATCCTCCGCAGCGGATCGTGCGCGCTGATGTGGGGCGCCAGACCGAGGCGCTCGTTGGGGATATCCGAAAGGCCGACGTCCGGGTCGCGCACCACAGAGGCTGCAGAGGCCGGAAGCACGGCAGCAATGGCGGCACCGGACCGTAGAGCAGCGGCTGCACCCGTCGGCGGCCCGGGTTCCTTTCTGCCCACTGCCCGGGCGTACTTGTCGGTGGCACCGGTCGATGTGTCCTGGCCCCGGCCGAAGCGAGCGGCCTGCGAGGGGGTGGGGAACGCCTCTCGGAACTTGCCAGCCGTCGCGCCAGCCTCGACGGAAACGCCCCTGGCCCCGACCGCCTCGGCGGTGAAGTCCGAGTCCGGATGGGATAGCTTGCCGAGCGGGTCGAGCGCGTCAAGCTCCTGGTCGCCGGTGGCGGTACGGACGACCTGCTCGAGCTGCAAGAGGTCCAGCGTCGCGTCCTGACGTCCCCTCGTCGCTCGGAACGCCTTCGATGCCTGCGCCCTGTCGGTGCCAGCGATGCCGGCGATTCCGTCGCACATCCTCTTGGCCGTACCGGCGGGCGCTTCTCCGGCCTTGTCGAGCGAGTCCAGGGTCTGATAGCGGTCTGCAGCAAACTCGACGCATCGCGCAAAGGCGAGGGCGAGGTTGAACGAGGCGCCATTATAGATCGATGTGATTTTGGTCGCTTCGAGATCCAGCAGCGTCGAGAGCTGGGAGAGCACCGACGACGTCAGCAGCCAGGCATTGTCCCGCACGGGCTGGTTGTCGTCCGGGTCGGCGGCGAGCTCCTCTTCCTCGGCAGCCAGCTTGGCAGCGAGCTCCTCGTCGGTCAACGGGACAGCGGGGCGGTCGGCGACAGACTCCGCCTTTGCCTTGGCCGGGGCGCGGGCGAGCTTCGCGGGGAGGTCGTGGATGGGTGCGCCGTGCCGCACGTCGGTCAGGTTGACCTTGACCTTGGCTGGCTTTGCATTGGACCTCCTGCTGCTGTCGAGTCCGACGGTGAGCATGCCTGCCTGCCCTGCCGCCCTGCGCTGCTCTTCTTGCATCCGGCGCCTGGCAGCCTTGCGCTTCTTGCCCTTCAGGCTCGCATCCAGGCCTTCGCGAGCGGCGAGTCCCTTGGCGAGTGCATCGTAGTCGAGACCTTTGGCTCTCTCCCGGGCGCTACCCGCTTGGCCGAGGGAGGCAGGCTCGACGGCGCCCAGCTCTGCCTGGCGCGCATCCTCGCTCTCAATCAGGTCGATGGTCATAAGCGTGTCGATGACGTCCTGAATGCTGCCTCTCGCGTCGTCGAGCGTCTCCTTGAGGAATGCCGGAGTCCTGGAGGGAAAAGCGTGCTGCAGGAAGACGAGCGGGTCGAAACGCTCCTCCTCGCTGATCGACTCGGGCAGCTGGTCGGCGGGCAGCGAAGATAAAGACTGTTCGCCCTTGGCCAGCTCTGCCGGATCGATGCGCCCGTCGCCAGCGGCCGTAGCGACGCGATCGGCCTCCCTCAGCTCCTTTTGCTCGATTGACCGCAGGGCATTTTGATCGAGCGCGATGGAAGCAAGCTCCGTATCGGTGTCATTCTCCTCGTCCGTGAGGCGGAGGTTGTCCGGGTCGTGGTTGTTCTGGTCGATGAGCTGCCACTCGTCGAGCAGCCTCTGCACGGAATCGACATCTGGCGCAGCCGAGCTGGTGGATGTGGGGGTGGTGGAGCCGGTCTCGTTTCCGCCATAGTCGTGGGATGTGATGCTGTCCGGGAACGTATCCGTGTCTAGGGAAGACGTCTTGGGCGAAGAGCTGAGCGGGCTGGCGACCGGTGAGGATGAGGTCAGCTGGCCACCGAAGTGACGTCGCCTCGAGCTCATCGACGCTTTCGACGTTCCTCTACCTGCAGCGGGGAAGGGTGATGCATCTTTGCTCTTGCGCTGCGGTGCCTGCGGCGATCGGTCCAGGGGTATCGTGTCCGCCGAGGCGCTGGTATCTTTGTGCGCAGCGTCGTCTGCTCGGCCGAGGTGGTGATCCTGCTCGATGGCGGCGGCTGCGAGCGTCTCGCAGAGCTCGCGCGCGCTCTGGAGCGTTTGTCCGGGCTCGTGTGCAATGGCGGCGACGAGCGACGAGTCGAGGGGTGGGGAGAATTGCTCTTCGAGCGCAGCCTGGATGTCGGCCATTGTGACGATGTCGTGCCGAGTGCAGGGCGGGTATATCGGACCAACCGAGCCTCTGCCAAAAGGGGATCAACAAATAAAGCGAGCGAGGTTGATGTATGCAGGTGCGTGTGATGGTGGTGGGAGGGACAAGGGGACGGACAGGCAGAGGGAGGAGGAGGATCAATGGGGCAACCCGAGCGGGGTTGATGGCCGGGAAGAAGTAGTCTTGGAATGACGGCAGGCTGGCCCCCCGCCGGCTGCTCGCGATCCGCGTCTGGCGTACAAGGCCCAGCCTCCACCTTGCGGTGCGGCTACGGCTGAGGTCATGGGAATCGGGGTGGGGCCAGACGAGACCAGGCCAGGGCCGTGACCCGATTCAACTTGGCTGCCGGTGCAACTTGGCGTGGGGGTGGCCCCTCCGCTGCCACGGCAAAACTGCGGGATCTCTTCGGGCCCCCCGTGCCGATTGCGCAGACCGCCTTCCCGACACCTCGACTGAGCCGTCTTCATCTTAGTCTTCCACCTTCCTGGCCTTGCGCACTTCGCACTTGATCCCCCTCGCAACCACCACCGCCCTCGATCAACATGTCTGCCCCCGCCGCTTCTCCTATCCCCGTCTCGGTCATCGGCTTCGGCAACTCGGCCAGGACCTTCCACCTCCCCTTTATCCTCTCGCTGCCCAACCTCTTCACTCTTCACTCGATCCAGCAGAGGCCCCGCACCTCGGCCTCGTCGTCCAGCAGCCCCAATGCATCTCACCTCTTCCCCAACGTCACCGTCCTGCCGGACCTCGACGCCGTGCTCGCCTCGCTCCCAAAGGACGGCCTGATCATCATCACCACCACAAACGACACTCACTTCCCCTTTGCCAAGCGCGCCCTCGAGGCCGGCTTCAACGTCCTCGTCGAGAAGCCCGTAGCCACAAGCGAACAGGACGTCTCGGAGCTCATCGAGCTGCAGAAAAAGACTGGCAGGCTCTGCGCCGTCTTCCACAGTCAGTAGCAGCAGTGACGGCAGACGAGTCGAGGCGGGACGAGGCCTGCGTGCGATGCCGCCCTAAACTGACTGACACCTCAATCTGCGCCTCTCTCTCCCTCTTCGCCATGCCATGCAGACCGAAGGTTTGACGGCGACTTCCTCACCATCCAGTCGCTGCTCCAGGCCAAGGGATCAGAGCCATCGGCCCTCGGCGTGCCCACCTTCTTCGAGTCTCGCTTCGACCGCTTCCGCCCCATCGCCAAGGGCGGCTGGCGCGAGGAGGTCGACCCTGACACACAGGGCGGCGGCATGCTCTGGGACCTCGGTAGCCACCTCTTTGACCAGGGTAAGCCTTGCAAACATCCCGCAGCGCAGACTGACGCCGAGCGATGCACTGACCCTCGCTCTCTCCCCTCTCTGGTGCGGCAGCCCTCCATCTTTTTGGCCCTCCCGAATCGGTGACCGGCTTCGTCCGTAACCAGAGGAACCAGGGCCCGACCGCCGTCGACGACGACTGGCTCGCCCTGCTCCACTACCCCGAGTCTGCGCCGCTGCCGCCTTCGTCGCCCGCCGCCGGCACTCGAATCGGTGGTCTCCGCGTCTCGCTCGGCGCCACCTGTCTCTCGACCCACGTCGATGCCGAGCAGCCGCGCTACCGGATTGAGGGTACCCGGGGCTCCTACGAGAAGCGCGGCACCGACCCGCAGGAGAACCAGCTCAAGGCCGGATGGTCTCCCGCCTCGCACGGCGATGCCTTTGGCGCCTACGACGACGAAAAGGACCCGGCCCAGGTGCGCTTCGGCCGCCTGACGACGTGCAAGTCGACCGATGACATGCCGGCGCCCGTGTCCGCTGGCGGTGCCGCGCCCAGCCAGCCAGAGATCGGCGTCGTCGACATCCCGACGCTGCCGGGCAGGTACGTCGATCTGTTTGTCAATGTGGCCGACTCGATCAACGCCGCCAAGCTCGCCGAGGCCGAGGGCAAGGAGAGGAGCGAGGCGGTGGCGAAGGTGTCGCAGGTCGGCGTCGAGCGCGTGCTGGATGTGGTCAAGCTCATCCGGCTGGCCAGGCTCAGCTCCAAAGAGGGCAGGACGCTGCGCTGGAGCGACTTCTGATGTTCGATCATCCTGCGGTCAGGCTAGATTGCGAAGAGGCGCAGAGAGGGGTATCGCGTGCTGTATCGTTACGACATTAGATGAGAAGGAGAGGGCTGAAGATGCCCGCTGCGACCATGATGAGGACGCCGGGCCTATCTAAAACGGGGCTTCAACATCGATGGGCCTCTCACGGCGGGGACTCGGCTCGGTATCGCTTCTTGTAATCCTCTGGCGATTCGTACTTCTTGCCCTGGCTCCAGATGCCGAGCTTCTGCTTTCTGTCAAGGCGGCATGTTCACAGTCGGGCAGGCAGGAAGGTTGGTGGACTTGTCGTCAGCGGCCGTGCGGTGAGTCCGCGCGGGCGGGCGCGCCGCTGCACTCAGACTCACTTTGCCTTTCTTTCGGCGCGCTCTAGCCCGTCCAGGCCGCTCTTTGCCCTGCTCCAGATCTTGGCCCACATGGTCGCCTCGCCGTATGCCGCACCGCTCTGGCGATAGACGGTGGCGAGGCCCTTTTTGACGAGCGCCAACGAGACGTTGGTCCTGCCGAGAACGTAGGGCGGTAGCCAGACGTAGGGCGTGGCCACGAGGCGCTTGTACTGGTCGACGTGCGAGGCCTGACACCACACCGTCTTGCCGAGGACGAGGGACTTGAGCTCGTCCATGGCCTCTTTGGCAAACGGCTGGGCGGGCTTGCCAAAGTGGCCCGTCTCGGGCGCATCGGCCCCGGCCAGCCTCACGCTCAGCGTCTGCGTCCGCAGCTCCGAGGGTTTGCGCTTCCGGTGTGGCTGGTGGATGAGGCTGCGAAGAAAGGGGATGCCGGGGGTGTGGAAGAGGCGGAAGCCGTCGGCGTCGCCCACCGACGTGACGTGTCCCACGAGCGTCTTGCGGTAGCGCAGCACCGACGGCGTCAGGTACTCGGCGTTGGGGATGCGTCGGAAGTAGCGCCAGTAGAGGAGAAAGGATAGCGAGGTGGCCGTGATGGAGAGCGTGGCAATCCCGACCGGCGTCGACAGCAGGTGGCGCAGCTCGCCCTCGGAGGGCACGGCCGCGGGGACGGCATCCTGGACGTTGGCGGGGAGGTGGTCCTGCACCTGCTTCTGTGCCCGCTCTAGCAGGTCTCCGTCGGCCTTGGACGCGCCTCGATCGCTTGAGCTGGTAAACAGGCCCATGGTCGGCGAGTACGGCGGTGCCGGGCGATCAGAGGGGGAGGTTCCGAGATGAGAGGACGGTGGTGGTGGTGGTCGACAGGCGCGTTGGGACGAGGGAACGGACAGGCGGGCACATGGACAGAGGTCTCTGCCTCCACAACAAAGCTCAATCTTGCAACCGACGCCTCGGAAGCCACACAGCAACACAAAGCGGCGGGGGCGTACGCGCGCAGCCGTCAAAAAGGGGCCATAGATTGCAGAGTTCATCGTCCATCGCCACCACCACCTCCCGCAACGAACGCCACACGCCCTCAAACGCGACCGTTGCAGTACGCCAGCAGCCGCCTCTCGGCCTCCGCCATGTCGTCGCGCATCTCGAACGCCTCCAGCGCCATGGCCCGCCGCGCCATGGCGCCCTCGACGTCGGCAGGCGTGCCTCGACCGGTGAAGCTCGACTCGCCTTCGCCCCCGGGGAAGTCGGCGGGCGGGATGCCGCGCTCAAAGGCGTCGCGCTGCCGCCGCACATAGTCAAAGTTGACCTTGGTCGTCGGGATGGCCGGGATGTACATGACCGAGCTGTCGCCCCGGCCGCGGTGCTGCGCCTCGACGCTGTGGACGCCGTCGCAGTGCCAGAGCACCATGTCCCCCGGCTCGACCTGGGGGATCGACGTCATCGTCTCGTCGAGCCGGAGGTGCGGGTGCGTGCGGTCCGACAGCTCGATGTTGTGGCCCAGCGAGCAGCCCGGGAAGTGGGCAGAGTCGCCGTCAAATTCCCAGTTGTCCGGCAACAGGTACGCGGGACCTGCGACGTCGGCGGGCCGCCTTGGCCGGAAAAAGGGCCGCAGCACGATGTAGGCCGTCGACTCGACGAGGAACGGCAGCACACGCAGCGTGCCCTCGTTGCACCGCGTCGAGCTCATGCTGAGCCAGCCCTGCAGCGGACGGAACACCGAGCACTGGCCGGCGCCGCCATACATGTCGGTCTGCGCTCCGAGCCGCTCCGCGGCCGCGCCGAGGGACCACGGGTCGTGCTCGCGCCACGAGCGACCACCGGCGAGGATGCGGTCCCAGACCGCGCGGAACGTGGGGCACTCCCACCGCTCTACGCCTCCGCCGTCGACGTGCGGGCCCAGGGCGAACTGCGCGTCCCCCGGCTGGCGAATCCGCAGGCGATCGGCGTAAGTGAGCGGGTTCGACAGCGACACCGAGAGCTCGGGCGGGGGCACCGACTCAAACGCGCTGCCGTCGTCGCTCTGTGACGGAGCGTGGAAGAGCGAGAGAAACGCCTGCGACGTTCTCATGAGCGCCGGATGGCCTGTCGAGGTCGAATGAGCCGAGCAGCGAGCATGCGCGGGGCCATCGTCAGTCAGAATGCTCGTTGATGTCAGCTCCGGCTAGATCGTCCTTCGGCACTCACCCCTGGCCGCCAGCTGCGCCCTGGTCCAGTACAGCTCGTACACCTGCGGATTGCTCTCGGGGAAGCCTCTGGCCGAGTTCATCTTGGCGTATGCCTGGATATCTTCCTTCCACTGAAGCGCCTGGGCTGCGGGCACGACGCCCTTGATGGCAGCGACGCCCCGCTGCCTGACCTCTTCCAGAGTGTGTGGGCTGGTCCACTTGTCGATCGGCTGGCGAGCCGCTTCGGCGTCCGTCGGATACTCGATTTGCGGGATGAGGTCGCCGCCACGCTCCACCGTCTCCTCGACTCGCCCTTGCAGCTGCGTCAGCACGTCGAGCCACGCAGCCTTGAGCGCCTGGACGTGCGCTTCGTCCCTGATCATGGAGCGCTTCAGTTCTGCGAAGCGGGCGGGCAGGGCGGCCTCGAGCGAGCCTCCGCTCAACGTCGCAAACACCGAGGCGATCGTGCCCTCCTTCTTGCCGGCCGTAGAAGGCGCTGCGCGCTGAGTAGGGCGCCGCAGCGGCGGCGGCGGCGACGACGATGCTGACACTGAGCTTGATGCAGCTTGATGATGACCCATGGCGCCCGCACGCTGGGTCGACGAAGTGTTGAGGCTACGTGCGAGGACGGCGGCGGGACTCTTGGCCCTTGTCAGGGCCCGCGAAGATATGATGGTGGTCAGCATGGTTGCTTGTGAAGAGATGGTTGCCTCGCTGGGGATGGTCGACGGTGGGTTGGTAGGGAGGTGATGGCGACAGACCTCGCCTTATATCCTGCGATCCCGGAAACAGGCAGGCAGGCTGGCATGCCATGGTCGACGTCGAAGCCGCCCCACAACCATCGCCTGCCGCCATCGCATCGCTCGGTGTCCTAGGTCGCCGACCCCGCGCTGTCAGGACGGGGCCCAGCTCGGCCATTCTAAAGCGCCGAGGACCGACCATCGATTGAGCAATCAATCGGGGGACCAGCAACCGATTGAGTCCGATCAAAAGCTTCGGCTCCGATTGCGGGTAAAACGTGGATGGGCCCGCGCTCGCTGGGCTGACGCAAATTTTCAAAAATTTCAAACGGCTACCGGTAGCCAGGCGGTCCATGGCCAACAGGTCCGCCGACTTGCACCCGCGCTGAGAAATTTCCGCCAGCCCGACGAAATTTTGAAAAGAGGGAGGCAAGCAGACAGCCAGCAGGCTAGCCGGGCCTGGCCACCCAGCCACTCAGCGCGCCAGGCACAGCGCGGCCTCAGCTGGCCAGGGAGAGAGAGGGGGCGACGAGCTGCCAGACGAGAGCAGGCGGCCGCTCAGCAAGCACAGCGGCGCGCTGGCAGCCCACTGTCTACTCTAGCGCCAGACAAAACTTGCCCGCCCCCCTCTTGTATGCTGCTTGTCTTTCCCCCACCACCACCACTCTCTCCTTTCGACCGAACCTCAAAAGGGACTCCTCTCTCTCTCCATCTTTGGTCCACGCACACATCCTCATCCGATTCCCTTTTCACACCACCTCCCTCAACAACACTCGACAATGTCTTACGGCGGTGGATACAGCAGCGGCGGCTACGGCGGCGGCGGCTCTTCGTGAGTACTTTGCGACGCAACGACGCCACCCGGTTGTCCTTGGTGACGGCGAGTTCCGTTACTGACTTCGATCTACGCGCACGCACCTCTTTTCTTGACGACGCAGGCGTTACGGCGGCGACAGCTACGGTGGCGGTAGCAGCGGCTACGGTGCCGGTGGCGGTGGCGGCTACGGCGGTGGCTACGGCGGTGGTGGCTACGGTGGTGGCGGAGGCTACGGCGGCGGTGGCTACGACAGCTACGGCGGCGGAGACCGCATGAGCAACCTCGGTGCCGGCCTTGGCAAGATCGACTGGCAGACTGCCAACCTCGTCCCCTTCGAGAAGAACTTCTACGTCGAGGACAAGCGCGTCGCCGCCCGCAGCGACGCCGAGGTTCAGGCGTTCCGCCAGGAGAAGCAGATGGCCATCCAGGGCCAGAACGTACCCAAGCCCGTCACCTCGTTCGACGAGGCCGGCTTCCCGGACTACATCCTCGCCGAGATCCAGAAGATGGGCTTCGCCGCCCCCTCGGCCATTCAGGCCCAGGCCTGGCCCATGGCCCTCAGCGGTCGTGACCTCGTCGCCATCGCCGAGACCGGCTCCGGCAAGACGATCGGCTTTGCGCTGCCCGCCATGGTCCACATCAACGCCCAGCCGCTCCTGCAGCCCGGTGACGGCCCCATTGCCCTCATTCTCGCCCCCACGCGTGAGCTGGCCAACCAGATCCAGGTCGAGTGCCAGCGCTTTGGCTCCTCGAGCCGCCTCCGCACGTGCGCCGTCTACGGCGGTGTGCCCAAGGGCCCGCAGATCCGCGACCTCCAGCGCGGCGCCGAGATTGTCATCGCCACCCCCGGCCGTCTGATTGACATGGTCGAGGCCGGCAAGACCAACCTCCGCCGCGTCACCTACCTCGTCATGGACGAGGCCGACCGCATGCTCGACATGGGTTTCGAGCCCCAAATCCGCAAGATTGTCTCGCAGATCCGACCCGACCGTCAGACGCTCATGTTCTCGGCCACCTGGCCCAAGGAGGTGCAGCGCCTCGCCAGCGACTTCCTCAACAACTTTGCCCAGGTCAACATCGGCTCGACCGAGCTGGCGGCCAACCACAACGTCAAGCAGATCATCGAGGTCTGCACCGACTTTGAGAAGAAGGGCAAGCTCATCAAGCACCTCGACCAGATCTCGCAAGAGAATGCCAAGGTCATTATCTTCACCAGCACCAAGCGCGTCGCCGACGACCTCACCAAGTACCTTCGCCAGGACGGCTGGCCGGCGCTCGCCATCCACGGCGACAAGCAGCAGCAGGAGCGCGACTGGGTCCTCGCCGAGTTCAAGTCGGGCCGCAGCCCCATCATGGTCGCCACCGCCGTCGCATCTCGTGGTCTCGGTGAGTTTGCAGTGTTTCTCCACATTCCCTCCCCTGTCCCTCCCTCCCCTCCCCCTTTCTCCCCAATCCTGCGGTCGTACTCGACCCCATGTCGAGACGCGGCCGCCCTCGCCCCCGCCGCCGCCATCCCGAACCCGCAGCTCCACCTCAACGGTGACCAAGAGCAGCAGCAGCAGCAGCAGCAGCAGCAGCAGCAGCAGCAAGAGGTCCAGGTTTCGTCGCTTTGCGCGTCTCTCGAGGTCGTCAACGGTGGCAGCCGTCCCGGGCTCCTCGCGAGCCTCAACAAGGAAGAAGGGTAAACTGCTTTCGAGCCTCTTTTCACCGAGAGAAGACGAGCCAGTTTCACTTTCACACGACGCCCGTCGATGTGCAGCCCACACTGCGGGACTCGACCTGGCCACACGGCCCGGTCGCCCCTTGCTGCGCGTCGGCGGGCTCTCCACTTCTTCCCTGCCACCTCGCACGCACCTCAAAGCCCAAGACCTTTGCGGAAGCCGATTGCGCCTGCGCCTCGGCACGACGATGGCCCGCGATCGCCTCGCCGATGGTGGCGGCGGCGGTCCAATCAGCCGTCTCGTGTCCAGGGCCCGTGTCTCTTCCGCACGTTCGCTCGTTCGGTTACGTGGTCTGCTGCTGCGTCGGATTGCAGTCCACCGTCGCGTCGCCTTCGGTGATGCGTCGGACGCAGCTGTCCTGCGCTCGGACGTACGCTCGCCAGCTCTGTCTGCCAGCTCCTGAGCCGGCTTGGCGTGGCGCTCCAAGTCTTGCGTCCTCCCCCATTCAGCTCCGGGCTGTTGCACAGCGCGAAGCAGGTGGGCTACCGACCAAGAACTTTGGCGCAACGTCTCGATGGGATGGCCTGCACGCGGCTCCGCTATGCTGTCGGCTATACAGCAGCCTGTCGCTCTGTCTTCGGGCCGCGTCGACGGTCTGCGTCCCTTGCCGTCGTTGCGGTCGATGGACAATCTTGCCGCGACGGGTCGGCTTGTTGTAGGAGCGCGCGTCGTCGACGTCGGCAGTTTTGCCGCTGCGTCCGTGCGATGCATCGCCGACCTACCGAGCGTCTCGACGCCCCTGCGGCGCGATAGGCGCGATAGGCGCGATGGCACGGACTCGGGCCTTGGCTCTGCTCTCCGTTCCGCCTCGGGGTTGCCATGCCTCCTCCTCCCATCACCACCCACCCCCCTCAAGACACTCTTTGCGACGATGCCTCGACATCGATCACTAATCACCTCTCCCCTTCCTCGACCCCATGTCCCACCCTACGGCGTTTGCGTTTCATACCAATGCAATGCAAACGTCGTTCCCCATCCACCTGCTACCCTCGACGATGCCGATCTGGACTCGATCGATCCTTCGACTGCCGATTCCGTCTCTGGCCGCCAACATTCTCTTCCGGATCATCGAACCGCGGTGCTACTGACCTTGTTCATCCCTGCTTTCCCGACGAGCAGATGTCAAGGACATTGGCTATGGTGAGTGGACCTCCTCCTCGAGGCAACTTCGCGTCATTTCCGCTCGCGACTCCGTGCTGACCGCCCCTCCCCATTGTGCATCCTCGCCCCGCCTCCCACTTGCCTCTCCGCAGTCATCAACTACGACTTCCCGACGAACACCGAGGACTACGTCCACCAGATTGGCCGTACGGGACGTGCCGGCCGCACCGGTACCGCCTACACCTACTTTACGCCCGACAACGCCAAGCAGGCGCGCGAGCTGATTGGCATCCTGCGCGAGGCCAAGCAGGAGATCCCGCGCGAGATCGAGGAGATGGGCATGTACGGCGGCGGCGGTGGCCGCGGCGGCGGACGTGGCTACGGCGGACGAGGACGCGGCCGCGGCCGTGGAGGCTTCGGCGGCGGTCAGCGCTCTGGCCCCAACTCGTACTCGGTCGGCGGCGGCGGATCCAGGTGGTAAGCGCCACCACTGTGCGCGCGCGCCCCTGCCGGTCAGCAGCGAGCACGTCAGCCAGCGACCGCGCTCTGTCTGCTTCGGCCCCTGATCACGGCCAGCCTTTGCCCGCAGTCCACTGCCACAAACCGCGTTGGCAGCAACGACACCAACTCCCCAAAATTGACAAGATCTCGCTGGCGACGCCTCGGTTCCCCGGTCTCGACGACTGGGTCCGTGCCCGCCGGCGCAGCTTCGACGGATGTCCTCTCATCCGTCTCTGTTCCAGCTTCTCTTCCAGCTGTCCATGTTCACGTTCTCGCCTAGCGACGATATCCCTTCCCCCTTCCTCTCCTTCTCTGCTAATGTACAACGCCACGCCGCACGTCACACTTTCTCCCTCCCTTCGCCCCTTGCTCGTGCCGACGGAGCTTCTTCGTTCCGAAGGGTTGCTCTTGCCTGCTGAGCACGCGCCCCGGCCTCATGTACCCATAGCCTCGCTACGAACGCAACGCTCTTGACTCGCCCCGTCCGACCAGGCCTCCGCGATCTGTGCGCACGGCACGGCATGGCACGGCACAGACGCGGCCGGTCGCGCTGACGCTGACGCAAGACGCCTCGGAGTTACCGTCCCGGCCTGACTGTCGGTCCTCCTCCACCTCGGCGGCGCGGCCAACATGCCATGTGTTTGGGGGTGGAGCTGACTTGCCGCCGGCAGTGACGGAGCAATCGTCTTCGCCTCGTGCTCGCTGCTGACCGCGGGTTGTGCTGCTTTGTGCCTCTCGTCGTCGAGTCCAGCATTACCCTCCCGACCACCGACATTGACCTCTCGTAACCGCCTCTCACGATCTCACCGCCACTGCTCTTCGACAAGCTACGTTTCTGCACACTTTGACAACGACGGGATGGCTTTCGGCTACAAGACGGTGCTGCTGTTGGGCGCCACTTCGGGCATCGGCGCCGCGCTGGCACGCAAGATGCTCGACGGCGGCAGCAAGGTGATCCTCGTAGGCCGACGAAAGGAGCGGCTCGACGAGCTGGCCGGCGGCTACGACGCCTCCAAGGCCGTGCCCGAGGTGTTTGACATCACGCAGCTCTCTGCGATCCCGTCGTTTGTCGAGCGCATCACGCGCGACCATCCGGACCTCGACTGCGTCGTGCTCAACTCGGGCATCCAGCGAACCATGAACTTTGCGCGGCCCGAGACCATCGACCTGTCGGCGTTTGGCGACGAGTTGACGACCAACTACACGTCCTATGTCCACCTCACCGTCGCCCTGCTGCCCTTCCTCCAGGCCAAAAAGGAACGGTCGGCCCTCGTCTACACGTCGTCGGGCCTCGCCTTTGCGCCCATCGTGCCGTGCCCCACCTACTGCAGCACCAAGGCGGCGCTGCACCACTTCCTCCTCGCGCTGCGGCAGCAGCTCAGGGACAACGACTTTGCCCGGATCCAGGTCGTCGAAATCTTCCCGCCCGCCGTCCAGACGGAGCTCCACGGTCCAAAGGGCGGCCACATCGGCATGCCGCTCGACGACTTCACCGAAAAGGCGTGGGCCGGCCTGCAGCAGGGCCTCGACGAGATCCCGGTGGGCATGGCCGAAAAGGCCCACGCCGGCTGGGAGCAGCAGAGGCAGCAGATGTTTGCCCACATGCACGGAGAGATGGAAAAGAGCGGCATGCTCGGACACCTCTACAACATCCGCGATTGATGGCGGGCGAGGAGCCGGCGGACGCAGCCTCTCGTGCCGGACAGCAGCTGCCATCGAACTCACTGAATGAATAACGTGAACGACGTGCTGCGGATCGTGAGCTCAGTCTCACCCTCGCAGAGGTCCGAGACCGTATCGAGAATGGCCGATGGTGGCGGGGGCCCAGACAGAGAAGGGAGCTGTCGGGAACGGGTCAGCCAAGGTCGCGGTTGTCGAGGACTCGCCGAGGCAAGCGCTGGACCCTGCCTGCCTTCGTGCTCACAAAAGAAAAATAAGCACGGCGGTCGATCCTGCCGCGAGTCGATGCCCGCGCTTTTTTTATTTTTCGGTTTTTCAGGCAGCGCCCCGCCGGCCGGCCAGGTTGCCCGAGCTCTCGGCCCGGAGACTAGCAATCAGCTCGGCGCATCATGGGAAAATGTTTTGCAGTTCAGGTTGGCGCTCTGAACACGGTTTTGTCAGATCAGCGCAGGCGCGGCACTTTTTGGATTGGATCGCGGCCGGTGACGTTGCGATCGACAGGCGGACGGCCGACTTTTGCCGATGCGACCTCTGGCAGAGGCTCCGGCGGCCATCCGACCATCTGTGTTTGGATCTGGCTGGCGTCATACCCACCATCTCGTTTGCGGGGAAGGCAGTCAGGCCGCCGAAGAGCTGTTTGCTACATCGCTCGACGAGGCCGAGGCGGGCAACTTCGGCGGCCCTGCCTCTTCTTGTCGACACTCCGCCACTCTGGCTTCGTTGCTCGCCTTCGGCGGGGTCCAAGGCAGGCGGAGGACCTGCAGGCCGGCGCCGAAGCAGCGGCGGTGCGCAGGTTTCTGGCGGCACAGCAGAGCACGCACGAGGAATCGCAGCGCCTCCGTGTCGAGCACAGCCACCGCGCCGAGACAGGTGGCCGACCTGGCTGGCAGGCGGCCGTTTGATGCCGGTGCTGCCATAACGACATGCGATGGAGCCAAGCAAGCAAGCAAGCAGCCAGCCAAGCGCCAAGAACGGCCTGACCACGCACAATGCCCCTGCTCGCTGGTGGATTTCGCACCTCGGCCGGCCCAGCAAGGCTATCGCCCGGCTTTGACGCCGTCGCATCTCGTGGGTGGCGGATCGCTGGATGGAGCAGGTGGGCGGAATCGCTCCCAACGCCCGAAAACGTGCGGAGAGGCGTGCTGGCCGTCGTCGAACGAGCTGGCTGCCGCTGCCTGAGCCTAGCCTGTGCCTCGACGGCTGCCTGGCCAGGTGGCGGTTGGCTCGACGTCCGGCCGGGCGGAGAGTCAACGGGTCAACCTCCAAGCCGAGCTAGAGCGGGCAGCAGGCAGGCAGAGGGCCGCGGGGGCAACAGCAGGCCGGCAGAACGACGGCTCGTCCGCTGTGCTTCTGCCCCTCTCTTCCCTCTGTCCCTTCTGGTGCAGCACCTGCATTGGCTCATCATGGGCCCGCCGAGATGGTGGTTAGATGCTCGACCTCTACCTCTGCCTCTGGCTCAGCCTGGCCTGGCAGCTCCATCGCCCGTCGGTCCTCGACCAGATCGTCGACCCCGGCCCGCTTGCCACGCCTGCCATGTCGTTCGCTCTCGCCTGGGCCTGAGGTCGTGCCGTCCTTGCTTCTGGACTCGCGCTCGTCGAACAAAGGCCAGCCAGCCAGCAGCATCATGGCGCGAGGTGGCCGGCAGTCCAGCAGCGATACCCAGCCTTGGCCTGCTTTGCCCCGGCTACCTCTGGCATAGCCTAGCCCTGGCCATTCGGCCTGCCAGCAAGCAGAGGCCAGGTAGAGGGGCAGCTGGCTGTGCTGCATGCAAACCCTCAGCGGCTTGGCAAAGGAGCAGGCCAGGCGTCACCACACTTCGGCGCCCTCGCTTGCCGTGCGCCCCCCTCGCAACGTCGCTTCCGTCTGAGTGGCGTCGTCATAGCCCGCTACCACCGCCCCTGCCTTGTCCTCGTCCCCGTCCTTGGTCCTGCCTCGCCTCGATCCCAATCTTCTCCCCTCGGCGTCCTCCTGTCCGCTCATCTTGTCCGTCTTTTGTCCCGCCGCCATCCTCGCACCTTCGTTTCCGTCTCTCTCCATCGCCATCGACCCGACCTCTTCTTTATCGACACCTTTCGCCCTAGAGCCTTCGGAAACGCCTGTTCCTTTCCATCCGACCGGCAGACCGCACCGACTGCTGAAAGCGCCCCAGCCTATCCCCTCGCTCACCCACCCCCCCGCTACCTCGCCGCCATGCACCCGTCCGCGCTCCTGGCGGTCTCTCTAGGCGTCGCCGCCGGCCTCGCCCCGACCGCCTCGGGCTACGTGATGCCGTTCCAGAGGCAGCAGGACCGCATCGAGGACCTCAACAGCTTCGCAGCCAACCACGGCCCGCTTCGCCTCTCACCTCGCGGCATTGCAGACGAGCCTCAGGCGGTCGGCTACAATGCTGAGCGCCGCTCCTTCTCGGTGCCGCTCCAGCGGCGGCACGGCGACCTTCACCCGGACATTTCCAAGCGCGACCCGGAGAAGACGATGGCCTGGGCTTTCCGCCAGGGCGAGCGCATGAGGCACAAGTACAACAAGGGCCTCAAGACCGACGACGAGAGCGAAAAGCAGAGGCGGCAGACCATCGGTCTCACCGACGTCGGCCAGGACAGCTACTACTACGCCCAGGTCTCGCTCGGAACGCCCAAGCAGAACTTCAACATCATCCTCGACACCGGCTCCGCCGACTTCTGGGTCGTCGACTCGGTCTGCGGGCCCAGCGACAATTGCGACAGCGATCTCAACCGCTACAACCCGAGCGCCTCGTCGTCCCACATCGGCTCTTCGGCCGACTTCCAGGTGTCGTACGGCACCGGTGCCGTCCAGGGATCGCTCGCCGCCGACACGGCCAGCCTGGCCGGCTACACCGTCTTCAACCTCACCTTTGCCCAGGCCGACCGCATCGCGCAGGATACGATCGAGTCGCCCGCCAGCGGCATCATGGGCATGGGCTTCCAGTCTCTCGCCTCGAGCGGCGCGACGCCCTTCTGGCAGGTGCTGGCGCAGCAGGGCGTCCTCAAGACGAACGCCTTCACCTTCCAGCTGGCGCGCAACATTGACAACGTCGACGTCTCCAGCCCCGACGTCAACTCGGTCCTCAGCCCGGGCGGCGTCTTTACGCTGGGCGAGATTGACGCGAACCAGTACAGCGGCGATATCACCTACGTCGACATCCCCAACAACCTGGAAAGGACCCAGGGCCTGGGCTACTGGAGCATCCCCATGGATGGCATCAGCGTCAATGGCCAGAAGGCCAACATCGGCAACGGCCCGCTCGCCGCCATCGACACGGGCACCACCCTCATCGGCGGACCCCAATCGCAGGTGCGCGCCGTCTACAGCCTCATCCCGGGCGCCCAGTCGGCGCCCGGCTCGTCGGGCTACTACCTCTTCCCGTGCGACGCAAACCTCGACATCGAGCTGACCTTTGGCGGACGCGCGTTCAAGATGTCGACGGTCGACATGAACCTGGGACCCTACCCCTACACGATCTCGCGAAACTGCCTCGGCGCTCTCTTTGACATCGACCTCGGCGGACGCGGAGTCTACGGTGTCCCGGAGTGGATCGTGGGCGATGCCTTCCTCAAGAACGTCTTCTCGGTCTACGACGGAAACGGCCGCGTCGGCTTCGCCAACCTCAAGGGCTCCGAGGCGCAGAGCGCGGCGATCACGACGGGCGCCGTTCCCTCGGGCACCGCCGCCCAGACGGCCCGACCGGCTGCGTCGACCTCTTCGGTCGACACCGATGGCGGCGGACTGCCTGTCCCTTCGCTGCAGACTGGCTCGCGAGGCGCGTCGGCAAACGGGCTGCCTACGCCTTCGGCGAGTGGCGGCGTCACCGGCGGCGCTGCCAACCTCATCCCCGGGGGCTCCGGTCGCGGCGGCGGCAGCAGCGGCGCCAGCAGCCTCAGAGCCATCTCGGCTACGAGCATTGGCCTCGGCGCTGCCGTGGCTGCCATGATGGCCGGCGCCGCGTTCGTCCTCTAGCCCTTGTCGTCCGAGGAGGTGGTCGTTTTGCATCCTCGACGATCGCCTTCGTCTGGTATGACTCCTTTCCTCGACCAGTTCAATCATCCACATACCCTTGGCTCCACCAGCAAGGCATCTGGCTCCATCGCTCTTTGCAGTTTTCTCTCTCTCTCCCTCTTACGGACCGCAACATTCCGCCCACCCTCGTCCTCCCTCGGGCATCTCTCTGTCCTTGTAAATCCCGCTGGCCTCGTCTTGTCTCTGCATCGTTGTGTTTGGCGGAAATTGCATCATCATGCTGCTGGAACCGTCTTGCGGGTTGTCCGGGTTGAGGGTTGCAACATTTGTAAGGGCGAGGACGAGGGCCAGGGCCAGGGCCAGGGCTGGGATCGCCCCGCTTGTTGCGGCAAGCGCGTTGGTTTTCTCGGCCGGAGGCTCGCTGGAAAAGGCGGAAGACGTCGGGCGAGGGTGCCAGCCAGGCGCCTCACAGGCCACAGCGCCGGAGGGCCCCACCCACCCGCGCCCTCTCCGGCGCTCCGTCTCCGCCTGCCCACCCGTCATCCCGGTCATCCGCGCCACAGTCGCATCTCGACCCTCTGGGAAGCTGTCCGGGGCCCCGTCCCTCTGTCGGCGTCTATGCGGCAATGACGCCCGTCGCCTGCGGGCCGCAACCCTATTCCCCGCCTCGCCTCCCGCATGGCCGGCCGCACTTCCGCGCCCGCCCTCGAGGGGATCGCTTTCCGTGCGAATCGCTTTCCCGTGCTTGCCGGAAGAGGTGGACAGAGGGCCGACAAGATTGGGCGCCTCCCCTGCTTGAGCTTGCCATGCCCCACCTCCTCGATTCTCTCGCTACGACCACGTCGTGCCGCCCCACTTGCCTCACTCTGGGGCGGTAAGTCTCGGTCTAGCTCGCTGGCGGCCCGAGGGCCTGTTCGAGATTGACTGTCGGGCCGCGTTCGACGTATATAACAGCGACTTGCCGCCATTGCTAGGCTGCACAGCCGGCCGCTCATCCCTAACCATCCATTAAGCACTATCTGGCATCCCGAGCATTCCCGCACACGCCATCTTAGCTACCACCCGATCAACAACAGCCGGTCTGTTCCCAACATGGCGGTAGAGGTCTCCTCGCCCGTGTCCGCGCTCGCCGCGTCGCTGCCATGGCCCCTACGCGTCCTCCTCCCCCTCCTGGTGGCGCTGGTGGGCTACTGCGCCTACAGCTACTTTCTGCACCCACTCGCTCGCTACCCGGGACCGCTCAGTGCTCGTCTTGGGCTGCCCATCTGGCGCTTCCACCACTGCTGGACGCGCGACTACGCCTTTGCCCTCCACGCCGAGCACAAGCGTCACGGTCCCGTCGTGCGCATCGGACCTAACCACCTCTCCTTTTCGGACCCGGAAGCCATCGCCTGCATCTACTCGGCGTCGGGCGGTCTGTCGTCCAAGTTCGTCAAAACCGCCTTCTACCGCGCCTTCCAGGTCTTCAAGGACTCGCCCTCGATCTTCTCGGAGCGCAACCCCGAAGTCCACGCCAAGAGGAAGAGGGCAATCGCCCCGGCCTACAGCATTGGTGCGCTGGGCCAGCTCGAGGAGTACGTCGAGCTGGTCGCCGACCAGCTAGTCGACCGCATCGCTACCGACGCCACGCCCAAGGGCGGACCCATCAAGCTCGACAGGTACTTTTCCTGCCTGGCCATGGACGTGATCGGCGAGATTGCCGTGAGTTTCAGAGCCGATGCGAAAGGTGACATCATTGTCCAGGGGCGACGGCTGACCTGATGCGTGTTGCTCTGCCTTCCTGGACGACTCTTTTTAGTTTGGCGAATCCTTCGGCCTGCTCCATGGCGACATCAACGACGCGCAGAGGTCGCACTTTTTCGCCGGCGTGCTGAACCTGTCGCAGTGGGGCGCCATCGCTGGCTGCCTCCCTTGGATCTCTCACCTGATCCTCAAGGCTATGCCGCGCATCACTGGTGAGCCCGGCGGCTGGGTCATTGGCGCGGCCACCAAGTCCCGCATCGACAAGCGCTACGAGGACGAAAGGACCGGTCTGTCATCGGCGCGTCCCGACATGCTCTCCAAGTTCATGGCGGCCAAGCATCCGGACTCGCGCAAGCAGTACAGCCAGCGCGAAGTGCTCTTCACCGCCACCTCGGTGATCGCTGCGGGCGCCGACACCACCTCGACTACGCTGTCCATCTTCTTCGGCTACCTCGCCGCCCACCCCGAGTGCTATGCCAAATTGCAGGCCGAGGTCGACGCCGCGTGGCAGGACGGGACCTTGACGAGCCCGATCAAGTACAAGGAGGCGGTAGAGCTGCCTTACCTGCAGGCCTGCCTCAAGGAGGTGCTCCGTCTCCACCCGCCGATTTCGATGGACCTGCCGCGCTGCGTTCCTCCCGGTGGCGCCATGATCGCTGGCCGCTTCATTCCTGAAGGCACCACGGTCGGCATGTCGCCCTACGTCGTGCACCACAACCCGGACGCCTTCGGTCAGGACTGCGACGCGTTCCGACCGGAGCGCTGGATCGATGCGACCGACGACGAGAAAAAGAGGATGGACAGGTACAACCTCACCTTTGGCGGCGGCTCGAGGACGTGCATCGGCAAGAACATCTCGCTCATGGAGGTCTCCAAGATTGTGCCCGAGCTCGTCACGCGCTTCAGCTTCAAGGTGCCCGGCTACAAGGCGCTCGAAAAGGGCAAGGTGCCGTTCGAGAGGAAGAGCGCCTGGTTCCTCGAGGCTCATGTGAGTTGCGGCTCGATGCCCTGCCATTCTGCACACTGCGCATCAGTCCGCTGACTTTCCCGACTTCTCGCTACCCCATCCGCTGCCGACTCGAACAGGATCTCGTCCTCGAAGTGACGCCGCGCAGCTGAGCGTAGCCTCGTGCCTTGTCCTCTACATCTCCCCTCTCTTTTTCTCTTTGCATGCATTCGTTTCCCTGTCACCGTAGTCTCTTCGCATCTGTCTCCATCCCGCACTCATGAACGACTCTCTGTTCGGTTCTGGAGATGGCCGTTTCGAGTGAATATCCTCCGCCGCACCCTAGGCCGTGGGCAACTAGACCGAGCCGGGCTACTTTACGCGACACGCGGCCCCGCAGGCTGACCCTCCACACGACCTTGGGGCGGCGTGTTTTTGCCCCTTGGCATTCGACCACCACCTCCTCCGGCCTCCTCTCACCTCGCCTTGCCACGCTCCATCGCTCACAGATGGGCGTACCGACCTTGCTATCCGGCACCCATACAACATGACCCTGACAGAGCCGCTATGGCTACCCCACCCCCACCCCGGCATCAGTCTACGGTAGCGGCCCAACCCTCTGATGCTGGCCCCGACCACAGCGAAGACAGGGATGGATGGACCGACGGGTCAGAGGACGATCAGGCGCTCCTCGAGGCCTTGGCCAAGATCGAGAACCAAGAGGATGATGCAGTCACCACGCCGGACGAGGACGAAAACGACGACGACGGCATCTACACGCCGCCGCTCCCTTCCCAGCAGTCCATCATGAGGCTCGCCAAGCAGGCCGGACCTGGCCTTGCTCTCGGGGGCCGCATCATCACTGCAACCCCACCCTCTTCTCCACCTCCGATGAGACCGACAGAAGAGAAGAAGAGTCGAAGGAAGGTGCAGTGGGCAGATGAGGACGTGGTCATCGAGCCTGCTGCGCCGGCTAACGCTGGTACGGCAGGTGACGGTGGATGGCAGGACCCGATCGACTACCCGCGACAGCCACACGGGACAGACGAGGGTCAGGGGAACCTCCGACTCGGCGCGAATGCACACGCAGACGCAGACGATGGCCTCGACGAGGAAGCGCCTCAGGCAGGCCAGCCAGACGGGGGCGCCAGCACGGATAACAAGAAGGCCTACCTCGAATCAGAGATCTATAACCCGATCGCATACGGAGACATGCGCTCGTACATGAAGTACAAGCGTGCCAAGCTCAAGGTCCAGGAAGCCGCCCTGCTGCAGGAAGAGGCGGAACTGATGCAGGCTGGCGACGCCGCCCAGGCCGCGCTCAATGGAAACGTTCAGGAGGCCCCGGCCGACGGCAAGAAGTCCGACATCTTCAAAGGCTGCTGCGTCTACATCAACGGCCAAACGCACCCCCCGTACAGCGAGCTGAGGCGGCTGCTCGTCCTCCATGGCGGCCAGCACATGCCCTACCTCGACCAGAAGCGGCCCTGCACCCACATCGTCGCGTCCAACCTTACGCCCAAGAAGCGCATCGAGTTCAAGGACTACAAGGTCGTCCTCCCTGGCTGGATCCTCGAGAGCATCGAGACGGGCAAGCGGGCCGATTGGAGGAAGTGGAAGTGCGATGCAATCACCGGCTCCAACGGACACGTCGGCGGCAACCTCGTCGGAAACGAGGAGCTCGGCCTCGCCGGCTGGAGAGACCTGGCAAAGCAGGCGCAGAGCGGCAAGGCGCTGCCCAGGTTCGGCGAGGCCGTCGAGAGCCCATGGGGCAGACCCGGCGCCCAAAAGACCCTGCTGCAGGGCTTCATGAAGCCGAAAGAGGCGAAGGAGTCGCCATCGCCTGTCGTGCAAGTGGAGACGCCCGCACAGCAGCACCAGCGTCGGGACACCAGCACACGCTTGCCCTCGTCACTCTCCACAAGTGCTAAGGAGCAGATCAGTCGCATCGACAACGGCAGAGGCAACGGCCCTGCAGCGGAGCCCAAGGTCGGCGTCGTACCTGCTCAGCGGAAGCCTGAGCTGACGAAAGAGGCGAGCCCGGCCTTGGCAAGTGCCGTCAAGCCGCTTCAGCACCTGGCCCAGGAGCTCGAGAGCGATAGCGCTCAGGATGCGGCAGCAGCGGTGCAGCCACCCAAGCCCCTCGGAACGACAGATGAAGCGACGGGCCCCACATCGGCTCCTCAGACGCCGACAAGAGGCCAAGCTCCGGGCAGGAACGACTACAGCATCGGCACCGACCCCCGCACCAGGGCCGCCGACGTGGCGGCGAGGGCGGGCGACATCACGATGAAGAGCGGGTACGCGAGCCGGCCTTCGAACACGCATGCTGCGCGGCTGCTCGCCAGCCCGAGCTGGCGCGAGCGCAATACGGCGACCAGCGAAGGCTTCCTCGCGGGCTACTTTGCCAAGTCTAGGCTTCACCACCTCAGCACCTGGAAGACCAGCCTGCAGGACATGGTCAGCTCTGCGCTGCGTGAGGCTGGACGCCCCGCCGGGAGCCTCGACCTGCCGAAAGGCGTCGAGCGCGTCATCATGCACATCGACTTTGACAGCTTCTTTGTCTCTGTCGGGCTGCGGAAGCGGCCGGACCTCAAGGACAAGCCCGTCGTCGTCTGTCACGGCTCCGGTGCCGGGCTGCCCCCTGCCGCAGAAGGCTCCGAGAAGAGGCCCGCCGACGACCAGTCGAGCAGCACCTCGGAGATCGCCTCGTGCAACTACGTCGCCCGCAAGTTTGGCGTTCGCAACGGCATGAGCCTGGGCCAGGCCAAGAAGCTGTGCCCGCAGGTGCAGACGATACCTTATGACTTCAAGGCGTACAACGACATCAGCCTGGCCTTCTACGCCTTCCTCCTCGAGCACGCCGACGCGCTGCAGGCGGTTAGCGTCGACGAAGCCTTGGTCGACGTCAGCATGCTACTCGAGAACATGCGCAACGGCTTCTTCCCCGCCGGCTCCCTCTACCAGCGGTACAGCGACAGGGTCAGCTCACAGGGCGACAAGGAAAAGTGGAGCGCAGAGAAGCAGCTCGCCGAGGCCTTCCGCGACGAGATCCGCGACCTGTGCGGATGCGAAGCCAGCATCGGCATCGGCAGCAACATCCTGCTCGCCCGCCTGGCGACGCGAAAGGCGAAACCCGGCGGCTCCTTCCACCTGACCGAGGACCTGCGGCAGTCGTTCCTCGACGGTCTCGACGTCGACGACCTGCACGGCATCGGCTGGAGCCTACGTAACCGCCTGCGCGAGCTGTTTGAGACGATCAACGTCGGCGAGATCCGCATCGCGACGACCGAGAGGCGGTTGGTGCACGAGCTCGGGCCCAAGAAGGGCAAGGTGGTGTGGGACAAGCTGCACGGCAGGGACGCGGATCGGCTCGAGGGCAACAAGCTGCGCCAGTCGGTCGGATCGCACGTCAATTACGGCATCCGCTTCCTCACCAACGACGAGGCCGAGACCTTCGTCGACGGCATGTGCCAGGAGGTGTCGCAACGGGCCCGGGCCGTGCGGCTACGCGGCCGACAGGTCTCGGTGCAGGTCATGGTGCGGGCCAAAGACGCTCCGCACGAGGCGCCCAAATTCCTCGGACACGGCGTGTGCGACACGCACCACCGCAGCACGCAGGTGTCGGGCCCCGGCGGCTGCGCCATCGACGACAAGGAGAGGATCAAGCAGGCCGCTTGGCCGCTCATCAGGGACCTGCGCGCGGATCCCAAGGAGCTGAGAGGCATCGCCATCAGTCTCAACAAGCTCGAGCTCAGTGACGGCAGCGGCAGCGCCGCCGCGCCCGGGCCGCAGAAAGGCCAGTCGGTGCTCCGATTCGACAAGGTGTCGCCGGCTAAAAAGCCGGCCGCACCGGCAGCCTCGTCGGCAGGAAAATCAGCGGCACCACGCTGGCCGGCAACGCCTTCGACGGCTGCTCAAAAGCTCAAGGAGCGCCTGGCGCAGTATACAAACGAAGCCAGCCCGTCGACCGCTCAGGAGGACGAGGAGATGGGCAATGAGCTGCCGGATCTGCAAAAGGGACCGCTAGCTGCGACGCCAAGGCGACCGGTGGCGGCCAAGCATGCCCAGGCAGCTAATGAGCGAGATCCGGATCGGATCGACGAGCTGGGCCCAGGTTTTCAGACACCGCCGCCGCAGCTTCCAGCAGCGACGCAGCTGGCCATCCCGTCGGCGTCGCAACTGGACCCGACCGTGATCGCGGCGCTGCCTACACCATTTCGAGAACAGATCTACGCCGCTCTGGGCCGCACCGGCGGCGGCAAAGAGGGCGGCAGTCTGCAGCCGACGCCGGACCGTGCGTCGCAAAACACTCCTAGGGTGTTGCCGAGGTCTACGCCGACCACGCCGCAGAAAGCCAAGGTGGCGCCGTCGCCCGCCATGGCCGAGGCGCTGCTCCTCCCCTCGATGTCGCAGATTGACGCCTCGGTCCTGGCCGAGCTGCCAGAGTCGATCCGGCGCGACATCTTGCGCCAGAGCCGACTGGGCGAGCCTTCGGCCTCGACCTCTCGCTCTTCGTCGCCATCGATCAGCACGCCGACGAAGCGGAAAAAGGCTCTGGCGGACAGCACCTTGCCCTTCTTGCCGCTCGGAGGCGGAGGCGATCTGGATGCCGAGTCGGCGGCAGCGTCCAAGAAGCGCAAGACGGGACTCTTCCGGTCCCTCTCCGAGTCGCCGCGGAAGCGGGTCAAGACGAAGCTGTGCGACAGCCTCGTCGCGGGGCAGACGGAGCTCGACGCCAACCTGCTCGACCCGGCCTCGATCTCGACCAACGAGCTCAAGGCGCTCGGCATCGACAGCGACGTCTTCCGCGCGCTGCCGGCCGACATGCAGCGCGAGATGTACGTCTACCACCGCGATCGGCGAGCGAGCGAGCTCAAGCGGTTCAAGGCCGGCTCCAACCGCAGCGGGTGGGAGGAGATGACGTACGCCGAGAGGCGCAGGCGAGAGACACGGAGGGCGGCGGAGCTCGAAGCCGAGGCGTTTGCCCGACAGCAGCAGCAGCGGCAGAAGCAGGGACATCCTGATAAGGCGAGCTTGAAGACTTTCTTCGCTGTTCCGCTGTCGAGGCGCCCCGCCGCCGAAGCCATGCTCCTCGAGGCGGCCACAGGCGATCAGCAGCGGCAAGAGGACGCGCCCAACCTTCGCGGTGCGACCGAGGTCGAGTCGATCCGACCGCTCCTGACGGCCTGGTTCGATGCCTTTGCCCAGTACGGGCCGCGAGAGGGCGACGTGCATCGCATCGCCTCGTTCCTCGAGGCCTGTCTGGACCCCTCGGCCCCGATTGGCAGCAGGAGGTGGGACGTGGACAAGGTCGAGGCCTGCCTCGTTTCGCTCCGCGGCGTCATCGCTTTGCGGCTGGGCGAGGATGCCGAGACGCGACGCTCGGCGCGAAGCTGGGTGAAGCAGCAGCGACGACGACGGCAGCGGCAGCGGCAACGGGAAGGAGCGGAGACAAAGGCCGGTGTGGCGGACAAGGACGGCGATCAGCTGCTGGATGGTTCGGCGGCGGCCAGGTGGTGGGTGGCCTTTTACGATATCCTCGAGCGCGTCAATGAGCGCGTCAAGGCGAGAATGGACGGAGCCGTCCTCTCACTCGACTAGCGCGAAAGGCGCCCTGTGTACTTTAGCCAACGAACCTCCTTCTCATCGGACCCGTTTCTTGAAGCTTGGTCCGTGTCGCTCCGATCGGCCCGACGACAGGGGCTTACGCTCGACCCGTAAAGAAGTCGTCCTCCCTCTCCCGACGCTCCCTGTGCCACCTCGCCTCGTCCTCGAGCGTAGGTCGGAAGCTGAACCACCTCCTGCGTTCTTCCCACTCCGTACCGCCGCCGCGTTCGGCCGCCCGGGTGCGCTGCATCTTCCACTTGTAGGCGGTGCGCATCTCGCGATCCGTCGGCCAGGCCTCCTCGCCCCTCCACTCGCGCAGCCAGTCGGCGAGCAGACCGGCATTCTCGCGCAGAGGGCGCAAGTCGGCTGGGACGTGCTGCGCCGAGTCGAATGAGGGCGAAGAGGCGCCCGGTTTCCCTGGTTGCGTACCTTCGTCGCTGCCGGACGAGGATGGCGAGGAGGCCGACGATGCCGACGAGGAGAGGGAGAGAGGCGGTAGGGCTTCCTCGAGCTCGAGGCAGATGGATGCGATGGTGCGCCGCAGCGGAGTGACTTCCAGCGTGCGCATCCAGGATAGGATGAGCAGCAGCTCCTCGATGTGGCCCTCTGACTCCACCCGGCCTCCGCGCTCCCCGTCCTCGGCGCCACCGCCGCCGCCGAACAAGCCCCTGGCAGGTTGCAGCTGGATGTAGAGCAAGAGGCGGAGGTAGTGGTCGAAGAGCTCCGGCGAAAAGGTGACGGTAAAGTCGATCTGCTCCGTCGCGTCCCCTCCGTCAGGCCGGCGTTGGAGGGAAGTATTGGGAATGGACGGGTCGGCGCCGCGGGCCGCACCTTTGGCGCCAACGAGGCGCAAGACGCGGTCGCTCACCCATCGCTCCATGGTGCGCATCCCTAGCTCGCTGCGCAGGATCCAGCTCGCCCCGGCCCCGAGCAGGTCGGCGCCTCGACCTCTGAGCATGGGTCGGATGGAGCAGTCCTTGAGCTCGGCATGCTGCAGCAGGAGGACCTTGCAGAAGATCAACTTGGCCACCGGCGGCGTCAGCTTCGCAGGGGCCTCCGGGGTCGGCGCCGGGATGGAGACGTCGCTGCAGCCGCACGCCGACTTGAGCAGGATGGCCAGGATCGGAGCGTCCGGGGCCACGCCGAGCGTCTTTCTGATCAAGGTCCAGATGGAAAAGGTGGCGTCGGTGAGGCGGGCCCGGTAGAGCCCCTCAAAGAGCGCCGTGGCCATCATGAGGTCCGGTGATACGCGTTTGCGCTCGAGCTGGACCGCCTCGCCGCCTGCCTCGAGGTTCGAGGGGAGCGCCGGCACGTGGAGCAGACCCTCGACGGGACTCTCCAGGCTGGCTCGCGACAACACCAGAGGCGCGCCGATCACCGGTGTCACGGCGGTCATGTCGACGCCTTGTTCGCACCACTGTCGCATCTGCTCGAGCGCCTTGGCAGGCTGTCCCAACGCGAACAGCGCCTGCAGCAGGATTGTCATCGATGCCGGCGACGGCTTCACCTGTCGCCGGAGCATGGCCTGCCACACGGCCAGCACGCCGGTGTACTGTTTGCGACGCATAAGCCCGTCCATGACGAGGGTGTACGAGCGCTGCTTCCGGCCGAATTGGTTGATGATCTTCATGGAAGCATCGAGCATGTTGATGACCTCGATGTCCGGCCGCCTCGTCCGTTGGCCCGTCGGAGAGTCAGGCGTCTCATCTGCCTGCAGTTGTATGCCCAGCATAGCCAGCGTCCTCTCGAGGGGTGCCCGCTCGTCGCTCGAAACAAAGACGACCATCGTGTCCCAGGTGCGCTTCCCTGCGACGGTCAGGTTGCCCGTCTCATCCTTGGTCTCAAGAAGGAGCTGCAGCTGGTTGAGCGCATTGGCGGCAGTCCTGTCGTCGTCGCGCTGGGCTCGAGCCATGGCCCGCATATAGATCTCGAGATCCCAGAGTGAGCCTCGTGAGTCGACCAGCTCATGGCCGGGATCGCGCCTGATGGGCCTTCCCTGCCTTTTTGAATCCAAACACAAGTCGTCGAACCACCTTCTGGCCATAGCGTGGTAATGGTCCCGACCGGCGGCAAGGATTGCGTTGCGCAGAGCCCTCCGCCGCAACGCTCCGCCGCTCGCCCGAGGAAGCCTTTGGAGGAGCCGCTCAGCAAGCTCCGTGGTGAGGAAGCGACTTGACCTGAACGCATCGATCTCGTCCAGACGCCGAGCTTCTGCCAAGCCGAGGCTTACGCCGCGGGCGCCAAGGAACTCGGGCGGCGTGCGGTCGATTCGCAGAAATATGGCGCACAGCTGCTGTTGCAGAGGCGCTCCCTTTTTCCTGCTCTCGGACCAGTCCAAGAGGCGCATAGCAGCGTCGCGCGCTCTCTGGTCGTCGTGTCTTGCCAGGTGTCTCGCGAGAAGGACGCAGGTCTCGTCGAGGAATTGCGGAGGGTAGGCTTCTCCCTGGGGCTGGGACGCAGCCATGTCCAGGAAGAGGTCGGTCAGGCGGCTGCAGAGGTGAAGCGCGGGCATCTCGTAGAGCACCTTGCGCGCAAAGAGGGAGAATATGGCGACCATGCGTTTGGGTTTGGCGGTCGAGACCCTGCAGAGAATGACGGCAAGGGCATCGGAGGCCTCGCTGGGCGTGCTGACGGCACGGATGCCGTGGTGGAGGACGAACGAAGGCCAGTCCTCGGTGGGGAAGGCGTACATGCAAGAGCGCACCTCTGGCCAGGTGGCGGCCGAGACGGCGTTGAGCATCGACATCCAGTCGGCCTCGGAGAGGTTGTGCTCGTGCAGCTTTCGGCGGAGGAGAATCTCCTCTTGGCTCTGGCCGGGTGTGTGGCTCGCCGATTCCGATTGTAGTCGTTCGTGGTCCCATCGGTCGAAGAGCTGTTCCAAGGAGCGAGCCGGCTGGATCTGCTGTTGGGCTGCGAGTTTGATGGTGACGCTCTGCAAGGTGGGCCTCTCGGCGAGCCAGGCGGCATGGCGCTGATGAGCTTCGTGGCGCCTGCGCCTCGAGCTGTCCTTTGGGCGCTTGTGATTTTGGGCAGATGGTTCTGGACACTTTGCGGCTGCTGAGTCCTGTCTGTCGTGAGAGACGCTGGTGTCGGTGATGGTTGCGGTGAGAGAGGAGGCCGGTCTCACGGGAAGAGGTGGGACGAGGCGAGGGGTGCGCCGCAACACCGAGACGCAAGGGGATCGGAGCATCTAGACATGGGAAAGTGGCGCAGGGGGAGAGTATCTCGGTAGTGGTGGTTGACTGAAGGCAAGAAAATAAGGAAGAGGGAAGAGGGAGCCCTGGTCGCGAGAGGGCAGGACGGTGGTGGTGGTGGTGGGGGCGGGGAGGGAGGGCCGCTTGAGGAAAGCGGCGCGCTGCTGGACCCCGACTTGGAAGAAGGAGTGCACTTTCGGTTCCGCGATCCAAAAAACAAAGGTCAGGCAGGGTTGAGGCTGGCTGCGTGCCTCTCTGTTCGGACTCACGGCTGGCCCTGGCCTGCCTCCTCCACTTTGAGCCCGCTCGCGGGGTTGTCAGCTTTGGCCGCGAGCTCTCCTTTGCCATCCAGAGCACCACCACCAACCAGCTCTCCACCGCCACCCCCACCGCCACCGCCACCCAGCCTCCAAACATGCTCTCCCGCTCCCTCACGCCGCTTGCCAGGCAGGCACTACGCGTGCGACGCAGCGTAGCACCCACCGCGCAGCTGCCGCCAGCATTCGGCCGCCGCACCAACTCGTCGTCGTCGTCGGGCGGCAACGGTCTGCCCAGCTCCTGGCCCCCGCTCCCGCCCGGCTTCGAAAAGGTGACGCAGCGGCCCTCGGCCATCGAGGCCATCCGCAACCTCGTCGAAATCATGAAGAAGAACGGCATCGACATGTCTTCCGGCGAGAAGCCTTCCATGTTCCAGATGATGAAGCTCGCCTCCAACTCCGAGATCCGCGAGGCCACCGGCAAGCGTGAGTTTGGGTGGTGTGCTGCGGCCCAGGGGATCATCCACATCCATCCTGCTGGCACCACGTTGTGCACCTCGACGGCTTTTCGCTCACCCGTCACTGCTCCGCACCTCCCTCCCCTACCACCACCGCCAGTCATGCACGAGCTCAAGGAGGCCGGCATGGACGTCTCGCCCCAGGCCCTGCAAAAGTTTATGCAGGCCGGCGCCGACTCGCTCAAGGACCCCAAGAAGTAGCAGCAAATGCAGCCAGGCAGCCATGGATCCACCTTCTATCAGAAGAGCGCCTCGGTTGCGCTCCCCACTTGTAGCATCAGGAGAGACATTTGTGCTGTGAATCAACGCTTTGATTGCAGACTGGCATTGCGCCATGGCGGATGATGCACGCTCGCCTCTGCAATCGCTGGCCACTCGGCCGCCTCTACGAGTCGATGGCCATGGCGTCGCCCGGCGTCGCCGCGGCCGTCGCTGATGCGCCCGTCGCTGCCGCCTCGCCCTCCTTGGCCTTGGCCAGGCCGTGCCTCTCGAGTAGCCGGTCAATGTCGTTGGGCTTAAAGATGCTCGTCAGCGGCTTGCCAGTCTTGGGGTTGAGGCTCAATGTCGCAAACTCGACTGCAGTCCGCGCGGCAACGCCAGTCAGAGCAGCATCGTCATCGACAGGAGGCAAGAGGCACGCCAAGAGGAAGGGGTCATACGAGGTCAGCACAAGCGCCGCCTTGCTATCTAGCCCGACTCGTCCAGCGATCGCGGCGAGACTCACGCTTCTCGCTATCGAGCGAGGTCGAGTCCATCGTCTTGCTGAGCACCTTGACCGCCAGGCCCATGGCCTCCTGGATGCCGATCTCGTCCTTGTAGTCCTGCTTGAGGAGGCTGGTGGCGGTGCCGTTGTTGCTGCCGATGCACGTGGCCTTCCATCCCGAGTAGTTGCCCGAGGGGTCAGAGTGGTAGAGCTGGAAGTGGTGGTGGTCGTCGTAGCCGGCGTAGAGGATGGACACGCCAAAGGGACGCAGGCCGCCGTACTGGGTGTAGCCCTGCTTGAGGTCGCACAGCCGCTGGGCGAGCTGCTCGACGGGGATGTCGTCGTCGTAGGTGCCGAGGTAGCGCTGCGCGGCGTTGCGCGCGTAGTTGACGAGCGAGTTGGCATCGGCCGTGATGCCCGCCACGCCGGCCATGACATTGTCCGAGACGTGGAAGATCTTCTCCGACGACTGGTCCTGCTCGAGCAGCTTCGAAGTCACCTTCTTCTCGGCCGCCAGCACGATGCCGTCCTTGGCCAGGATACCGACGACGGTGCCGGCGTGCGAGATGGCCTCCATGGCATACTCGACCTGGAAGAGGCGCCCCTCGGGCGAGAAGGTCGTGGTCCGGGAGTCGTACCTTCGCGACATGGTCGATCGAGGGCGTGAGGGGGGGAGAGGCGGACTGCGGTTGGCGAGGATGCAAGCAAGAGGGCCGGCCTTGGGAAGCGTAGCGAGAAGGCTCGGGTAGTGCGGAGGGGAAAGAGGTGGCGGTGATTGAGAGTTACGGGTCGAGGTTGCAGCGATGATTGAAGGCGAGTGGCAGGCAAGTCGAGTATGTGAGAGCGAGCGGGAGAGAGAGGGTGGGCGCGGGGGCGTGCGTACGTGCGTGGGCCCGTGTTGGCCTGGGGAGGCCCAGGTGGAGAGGGCTGCGTGTCTTCGATCACGCCCGCCGCTTGCCGACGACTTCGGAAGTCGGAAAAAAGGCTGGACCCGCCAGATTGGCCTCCACAGCCCGCCAGCCAGCCAGCTCCCACCTTTTCCGGCCTGGAAGATCCTCGCTCGCCTGCTCCGACCGCCCTCCACACACCAGCATCGAGCGCTCCTCGGACTCAAAGCTCGCCAGGAGGAAAAGTCAAGACGACGGTCATGCTTTGCTCAGTCCACGGAGATAACAGGAGGAGTGGTCAAGAGGGAGGGAGGATTGGGGTATAAGGAGCGCTGCGTGACCGCGACGCAGGGAGAGAAGGGAGAGGGGGAAGAGCGAGGGGTCCGAAGAAGACGTTGCTTGCATGCATGCTGTTGATGGTAAAAGGGGTTGCCCGAGAGAGTCGTGGATAGAAGAGGGATGCCCGAGATGGAGCAGGAGCACCGGTGTTCGCCTCGTCCGCGGTGAACGCTCCCCCGACGCCCAAGAGGTATCGTGGCCGGGGTCTTTGTTGTCGACCGCAGCGTCAAGAAGGTCGAATGTAGCCGCCTCAGGTTGCAAGCGCTTTGGAGCGCGACCGAGGAGGTGATTCTGGCACTTGGACGTCTGCGAAGAGTCGCCGCATCGAGCAAGGCCATGTACCGAGGTGCGAGAGGTGGGAGGCGAGATGGACTTGCCGCTCCCTGCGATCCGGATCACATGACGATGCACCTCTTCTTCTCCTTTGGCCGCGTGCCAAAGCTGGACCCGGCCAGCTTGCTATTCCCCGACCCGTTGGCGCCATGCGACCCATGGCCCCGTCCGCCGTTGGCCTGCTGCTCGTAGGTGCGGCACTGCCGCACAATGTCGATGAAGATTTCCTCGACGTTGACCCGCTTCCGCGCAGACGTCTCGTAGTAGGGCACGTTGCCCCATGCCTTGGACAGATTGGTCCCAATCTCGCGAGGCACCTGCCGTTCGGATCGCAGGTCGGACTTGTTGCCCACGAGGACCAGCGGGACCTGTCGGGGAGCAGGTACCGTCAGTCGGGGGGGGGGGGGGGGGGNNGAGACGTCNC